AGCAAAACAAATTATGTTTTGACTTGGAAGTTTATAATTCTTATTTTTTAATAAGGTTTTATTAGAATAATTGCCATTATATTCTTTAATATATTATAAAATAATCATTTGGAGGATGGTAATAGGTAACCATGAGGAGGAAAAGCTCATAACATAAAACCGAACATACACATATATAAAATGAATTAATAAACAGGAATACAATAATATAATTATTTTTAATGAAAATCAAGTCCTTTAGATAACTTTATGACAACTATAATGAATAAACTGACCTTTGCTTTTCGGCGACGACGGCGGTGTGTTTTGCATATTAATATCACTATAAAGATTAGTCTTCGCCATTAAATCAACTGACAGCGGCTCGCTAATCGATTTATGATTCATCATGTAATTTTCGAACGCCGCCATTAGATTAAAAAAAAAAATAAAAACTACGAAAGGATTCTAAAATAAAAGTCTGACTGGACAGTTACAAGAAAAAACAAAAAATCTCACTGGCCAGTTACAACGGGCGCGCGAGCATAGAGTACTGTCACTGTCAGTTATAGTTTGTTGTACGCATTAAGCGCCGCCTCACTAAAATCTATAATGCGGCGACCAATAACGTCATCTCCTTCCCCTCCGCCGTTGAGGGCGTGGCTTCGATTATTGTTCCGTCTCGCTCCCTCACAAGCTTACTTGTTACGAGCTTACGATGCTGAAAACGATTTTCTAAAGCCGGGGATGTACTGAGAGGCTACTTTTAATACCTACGTTTTTTCCACTAATAAAAACGTGATGCATAACAAAATGTTTTTTTGATTTATATCTTGAGGAAGTTGTTAGAATAATGCCACAATTATGTTGATGTATAAAAAAATTAAACATCTAATGGATAATTTAATAGTACTTCAAAACAATGTATTTATTTCTATATATAAAAATGAATCGCTGAATGTGTTGCTAAGCGCAAATCTCGAGAACGGACTAACCGATTTCCCTAATATTTTTTTATAATATTCCTTGAAGTACGAGGATGGTTTATACGGAGAAAAATTTAAAAAATTGCCTGAAATAGTCTAAAAACAACACTTTTCTATATTCCCATACAAAAGATTCGTAATAATACTCAAAAGTCATTTAGAACTTTAATACCATACCATAAAGTTTAAGTGTTAGTGAAGAGGAAGTGAGTGACTGTGGTAAAATATCACTACACACGTCTAAACGTCTCTTTGCATAGTATAAAACAAAGTCGTCCCGTTGTCTGTCTGTCCCTATGTATGCTTAGATCTTTAAAACTACGCAACGGATCTTAATGCAGTTTTTTTTTACTAGATAGAGTGATTCAAGAGGAAGGTTCATATGTATAATACATTGCACCCGTGAGAAGCCGGGGCGTGTCGCTAGTTACTAAATAAATTAAAAAGAGAACACAAAGAAATCTTAAACCTAACAGAATAACACGATAAAAATACTTTATATAAATAATTACCTTCCAACAAATTACCTTCCATCGTATTAAGAGAGAAACAAAAAAATAAAAAAAAAAGTAACTCGCTCCCGGTGTAGCACCAGCGTGATTTAATCACGCAACTCATTCCGTTTTAATAGACCCCCCGCACCCCTCAAGGCTCCCACTGAGCGTTCAACACTGAGCATCATAGAGCCTTATCGCTCGGCGGTCCGATATTAATACACCATAACCGGACACCTAAAACTCGCTGATGAATCAACTCCCAGAGCTCTCGCCGTGTACGCTCGCCAATTCGCGAACTGATCTGATTGAAGTGGTTCTGCTACGTATGAGACTGCGATAAGACTGCTTGTACATATTTGAAGAAAGAAAAGAAAGAAGAAATAAATATTTGGTTTTATTTTTCTTTCTTATCTATCTTTCTTTTCTTTCTTTCTTTTCTTTCTTATCTTTTCGTAACGTCACTTTACTTATTCTATTAATTCTGCGTGACAAAGGCCCTTAGGCCTCTGCAAATTGATAAATTACTCTTTGATTCCATCTCTAAATATTGAACAAATTTATATGGCCCTGCCAATTAGGTGTTCAAATTCATCATTCTGGACAACATGATAGAGAGAATTATCGATGAACATACACAAAATATATTCCATTGAATAGCAAATTTATTCCAATATGTAAATTCAGTAAAACAGAGATAAATATAGCATCCAATAAAAATAAAATCATGCAAATGACTTAGCAGAAGTTGATTTAATCGCCAAATCACCTCAAGTTTCTGCAATAAATCCTTCTCTGCTTTAAACTCTAGAACTCTTTACCTTTGACTGTTAAACGTGCTCAAACCCGAGATTTTTTAAAAAACAAGTAAAGGAACATTATCTGTCTGTCTAGCTTCGCTCAATAACGATGTCTCTTTTTATTTCACTCCTAACCCCATGATCACAAACAAGGGGTATGTTTTTCTTATTATTTTATTTTTATTTATTTCTTTTCATGTATATACCTACATCATACGCATTAACAATTTCTTTTGATAAATTTCTGAGGTTACCAGAAGTAATTTCTGTGTAGCAATAAGGTCGCCTTTTGATGACCAATATTTGATAAATGTTTTGTTTTTTCGTACTTTTTTTCCTTTTTTGATGTAAAATAAACGGCCGGTTTCTGAAACACTGATCATCGTAGAAGTCAACTAATCAGCTGTCAAATGGCTTTTCAAATGTTATTTGAGTCAGTCTGGCGAAACTAGGAACAAAAAATTTTTCTATGGACTTTACGCGGCAAATAATGGCGGACATTGCTATCACTCTCCCTCAATGAGGTTTCTCTTTCTTGCAATACAAGAAGTGCCATGTTGTTTGTCAAAACTTAATTTCGCACCGCGTATTTTGCATGTAAATGCTTTTTTCATTGTAAATTTAAATTGTTTACGGTAAACTTTCTCATGAAAACTAGTGACAGGTGATCAGAGTTGTACTTTTTATTCAAAATGCCTAAAAGACGGTTTATTATCTGTAAAATTGGTGAAAATCGAGCAAGTCATTCGAATCTTGAAATAGGATGTTTATGGCGACATTTCCCTTAGATGTAGCCCATGTAAGCATTTAAATATAATACTTTGCAGCCATATGTAAGTAGAGCAGGCTAAGAACAAATAAAATTAAATTTATCTCATTTAAATCGTGTGCTAGTGATGTACTGCAACTGTAATATCCACATATCGATAACTAAGTTAATGTTTGTCATTGAAAAAATAAGAAATAAAATGTTGCGTGAAAGATTAGGGGCACAAAGTTTAACATATATTTGCATGGTGTGTCTACATAAATGAGCAAGGATCGGAATAGGTCAATTTTGCAGGATTTTGAAACAGTTTCTCTGCAATATTGATACGTCATATAATTAATTTCGTGCGCTGAGTATGCAATAAAACTAAAACAATTTTTGGATTTTGATTCTATTTTTATGTTTCAATTATTTGCAGACTCGTGTACAGCAGGACAGCAGTTGTTGGCTGAAGAATCACGAAACAAATTTCATTTCAGTAATAAAATTTTATTTTAATTAACAGAAACCGTTTTTTATTTTATTTCGGGTCCGTATAAATGTCCATCTTCTACCAAATATCCCCCCATCAACATTGGACATAAATACGGACTCGATACTTTCCTACTAAAATTAATAAAAAAATATTAAGTGGAAACCTCGGTAAACTAGCTTTCCTAGCAACCTAGTATCTTTTATCGATATCGATAAGAAGCTAAGCTAGTTTGGTTAAGCACTATTTGGCTCGTTACGTTGGTACTCATGTTGTTTGACATCTTTGTGGTATTTTTGTGGTATGGTTGGTATTCGAGTGCCGCGTAAACTGATATTTTTGGCTAGTATGGTAGTCCCGTCTCTTAAACGTAGTGATTACATTCTCTTTGATTTGATTTGGATTGTCAAACTGAATCATCATAATGATCTTTTTAATGACCAGAATCATCAATTCAAAGAGTTTAACAACCCTTTTCCTTGATCAGTGTTTCAGAAACCGGGTAAAAGTGTATTATTATAATAATAAATGATCAAAAGTATGAAACGCCTCCAGCACTGGCGTCTAAAACAATCAAATACAAAACTTTTCAAGTCGGTCAAAATAAACGAAAAATGTGGAAGCAGTAAAACCAAAATATTAAAACAAATCTAAGAAACGGGGGCAATAAAAGAGAAAATTCTAACCGATATTCATCGCTTGGCCACAGACAATGCACCGCTCTATAATTGAGCAAAGACAATATTTGTGCTCGGAGACGTATAAACAATGAAAAAAGAAAGCATTGTTACGCCTTGTATTATGTCAAATTGCATTGTTTTGGCGGCAAAACTAATAAATGTCACGCAGCGACGGATCGCTGGAGAGAATCGGCTGGGCTCTATTTATATTGATGTAGGAACAATGTAGTGTGGAAATAATAAAATAAAAAATGCTACCGTTTGCGAACGATCATTTGTCAAAATTAAGGCGTTAGGACAGTTTGAAGTCTTTTCTTTCAAAGCTGAGATTGCTTCTGCGTAGAGCTTCCATCATGTTTTACTCCATCTTCAATGGCGTCTTTCTTTTAGTTTAATATGTCGTTAACGTTGTTACCTAATTTAGTTACTTAATACATTAATTAATTAAGTTGCCATAACTTCTCATTTACGCATGATACGGTAAGAATGTTTTGCGATAAGCACATGACTGTGGTAGGGCCACGCAACGCCATACTGTTGCTCGAATGGGCAGGTCCGTCCGAGTAAGTATCACGACGTCATAGAAGACCGGCATAAAGTAAAAGTGTTACACTTATACCTTTCGTCTGAGTGAGGTAGCCGGGGCCCACATTATTTAAAGGTGGCAACGCATTTGCAAACCCTACGGCTATTGAAAATGTCCATGGGCGGAGGTTATCACTTAACATCAGAAGAACCGCCAGCGTCGTTTGCCACTTTTACACATAAAAAATACGTATTTTAATGAGTAATGATTATTATTTACAATATCATACAATCACAGGAACTTGAGTCCTCCATCGTAAAGGTCCAATGAACCCCCAAAATTACCAGCTAAAAAAATAAGAAATTTAATTTTTCAGGTTCTCCATTAATTTTAACTATCATCGAAAAGTATTAAGTATTGATTATTGACTAATATGCTTTATGACTATTAAAAATTATGATATTTTCAATACATAGGTACTTATAAAGCTTTCAAAGACGGCAGACGGTACGGAATAGCCAAAGATCAGTACCGTTAATGCTGTTCGAATAAAATATTCAAGTTGAAAGGTAATAATATAAGATGATAGCTATATATTTATATATAAGATATTATATGCTAAACGTATATCAATTATCGAAAAAGTAATTCATTAAGAGCCAACAAAATAAAATTTGATTCCATTAAAATAGCAAAAAAGCGCGTTTTCACATCTAAAGATATCATCAGTAAGTAATAAAAATCTTAAAAATTCTTTAACGCCGTTTTTAATAAAGCCTTACAAAATTTTCGTTAACAAATATTACTAGACTAAATGGTATTTTTTTTTATTTAAATGCTTGCAGTCTCATACCACCCAAGCTGTTCTTCATACTAATTGACATTATAATTAATATTATAAAAATGCTATTAGTTATGCAGCCCTTATTCATAAAACATCATAATTTTAACAGCACTTTTACCATCTATTCACAACGTCAAACTAATTATCGGAATGGCAAAAAATCGTAATGACGGACTTTTCTTATCCAGCCGCTCGGCCTGCAGTCTTTGACTTACCGAAGGTAAAGTATAATAAAACATTACCGCTACGCCATAAAATTGTAATTACTTTACCTTAAATAGACAAAAACTGGGCAATACTTGATGCTCTCCATTTTCAAGTTAAGTCATTTCCTTTCTTTCCAACAGTTTTAGAGCGTCATTTTGCAAGGATTTTGAAATTGAAATCGCATAAAACAAATTAACGTTTTGTTGGGTATTATAGGTTTTTCATACATGTAAAGTTATATGTTTGGTTCTGGTTTATTAACTTACTCGATTATATAAAAACTCTTTGATTCACGAAAAATATTGCCACACAAATCCGCGCTGAGAAATAAGTTGTCAAGTTTTCTTAATTATTGTAGCACTGGCCATAAAGCCTCCAACCATATAAACGTTACATAATAGAACGTGCACAGATTAAATATACAAGATTTACCTTGTGGCCTGTCATCGGCGCCGTCGCTGTCCACCTCGCTTCTTATACTGGAAGGGCTAGATCTCTTTAAGTCTTCTTGAACTTGACCTTCTTGGTAACCGTTCGCCATCGCCCTCTTTTCGTAAGACATGAAAAATGGGAAATTGGGCACGCGGCTCTGCTGGAAGTAGTAGCCCATTTTGCCGTTCCTCATTTTTACGTCCTCGTCCTCCGAATGCGCGTTCTCCGTCGCGTAATCCTGCGATATGCTGTTCTCGATGTCGATCTCAGGCGATCGGCGCTCGTTCAGGCCCACTATGGACTCTATAGAGAAGTTCTTCGGCGGCATCTTCGTCTGCATCTTGCTTATTTCCGATTCCATCGCACTGATCGGCTCTATCGTCACAACACTCAACACTGGCCACTACGGACGCGACCTCTTCACTGACGGCGGTTCGGATTTCGAATGTTTTCGTATTTCGAACGCCCGTACGTCGGTGTGTCGGACTTCTCGCTTGAGCTCAGTCGGCCTTAGAGCGGGTTGCACGTGACCACGCCTCTTGAGTGTGGGGGAGTTAAGCAGCGTCAGTTCTTCTGAAATTGGCTCTTAACGCTTTGACTTAAAGTGGAGTTTGTGTTCTCGTAACGAAAGACTAGCGAACTGGAGCTAATGCGTGAAGCAATTTTCACTGTATTCGTCTTCTCTTACGGTTCACTTTGCGTAGCTACGTTTCCCTCTATTAACAGACAGTAATCTGCTGCGGTTCTACGTAATAAAAGTAGAAATTGTAAAATGCGACAGTTATGATTTTCATGGCTTTATTTAATTCGCGAGACATTTAGATGCCGATTTCGTATCTCCATAAATATACATGTCACCTTTATCATGTTCAGTAATTACCTCTTAACAAATTTACAAACCACATAAAAATGTTAAACCATATCAAGACGTATTAAAATAATCCGCATTTAAACAGTAGTCTTGGAAGAATCCTTGGACAAAAAATATGCAGAAAAAGGGCATATTAAATAATTATTTGGGCGGTAGCAATCAGGTAGCCCGTGTTCGGTTGCCAGCTCGTATGACACGAAAAGATTTGTATTGATTAGATAGGGCCTTATCTAATGCAGAGGGCGCATCAAGCCCGTAGTTCCTCCCCGACAGTTCAATAAAATAAAAAATTAAGTACAAAGAAAGTAGTGATATATATATATATATATATATATATATATATATATAAAGAGAGAGAGAGAGAGATCGTCGAGTGAGCAATAGAAATGTTTCATTACATTAGTTTCCATTGCATAATAATTTTTAAAGAACAATAATTAAGCTTGCTTAACATTGCCGAACGATGAATTACTTAAATTTTCGATCATTTCACAAAAACTATGTTTATATTAATAACGACACACATTATAGGTGTAGTAGCTTGGAGAGGTTTTCGGCTTTGTAGCAGTATACGGTAAGCATTTTAAGAAAAAAATAAACACTTTTATACGAAAATACATATTAAGAGTTATTTTAATCATGAATTTTTCAAGTCATATTTCTTAGTCAGCCGGTAAATCAATTAACTATAACACGTCTCGTTTTTTATCAAAAGCCTCGTGTCTACTCTGAAATTTATTTTCCATTTCAAAAAATATTCCTCTATTCCAATGATATTATATACAAATACAACTATATGTTCTACCAATTTTGTAGGGTGTGCAAATATGATATGTTCGCTTAAAGGTTGTCAGTATACATGCTAAAATCTCTTAATTATTATAATCATAAAAGAATATAGAAAAAATGATGAAATAGAATATTAAAACTATAATGAAACTTATGTCTATGTAAAAGTAAGATAACAAACATTAATAATAGAAAAGAAAACAAAATGAGAAATAATTTAATGACAAGGCAAAATGTTTGATAAAATTGCACATTTCAGTTTTGACTCAAAAATCATTATTTATTTGAGAAACATTTGTTTGTACTGTACTAATAACATTTTTCTGTTAACATGTCGCATAGTTTTTTCTTAAATAAATTTGTGTTTAATTCCTTTAGTTCTTTCGGGAGCCCATTATATATTTTTGTATAACCATCAAAATGCCATGATATTTCCAACGCTACATAAAAGTGCTAAGCTTGAAGCATATTATGTTGACTAAAACCTGGTTGATTTATACGATTATCTAATAGCTGATAGATATATCTAATTTATAGTAAATAGTTTCATAAAATCTTACATCTATAATTACAGACATACCTGTCGCCCATAGGGGGTAAGGAGGCTTTCTATCGTCCTATTATACTAGTGTTTTACCGTTTTATAATAATATTATAGTCAATGGAATTTTTAAATACCATTTTTAACATGTATATATATAAATGAATCCCTATTTCCCTTGGTCATGCCATCGCGCGTGAACGGCTGGACCAATTTCACTTTTTTTTTGTTGTTTATTATCAGGAGAAGGTTATTATGAAAAAAAATATTTAAAAAATTGCCTGAAAAAGTCTAAAAACAACACTTTTCTATAATCCCGTACAAAAGATTCGTAATAATACTTAAAAGTCAATTTGAATTGGTATGTTTAAAAAGTTTAAATTTAAAAAAAGATAATTCCAAATTCAAATTAGGAAAATGTGTGATTTTCATTTGTTTTTCTTACTGTCAAGATGAGTGATTCTAATGAAGAAATTCGATACATTAAAATTTTACTACAAAAAAGGTGAAAATGCAACGCAAGGCGCGAAAAAAATTTGTGATATTAATGGACCTAGTGTAGTATCTGGGAGAGTAGCACAAATTTGGTTTAAGCATTTTCAATCCGGAAATTTTGATGTCAAAAATGCACCTCGCCCTGTTACGGATAAAATGGATGCCATTTTTGAAATAGTGGAGCAAGATCGGCATATCAGTAGTTTCGATGTAGCTGAAGAACTGGGAATTGACCACAATACAGTTTTGGCGCATTTGAAAAAAGCTGGGTACACAAAAAAGCTCGATATTTGGGTGCCTCATGAGCGCACTGAAAGAAACCTGATGAACCGTGTACCCATTTGTGATCCTTTATTACGACATAATGAAACCTAACCATATTTGAAAAACCTGAAAAGTGGATCACGTACGACTAGAACATGCGAAAAAGGTCGTGGTCAAAGGCTGTTCAAGCTTCACAGACTCTAGCAAAACCCGGGTTATCTCGCAACAACGTAATGCTGTGTGTATGTTGTGTTTGGAAGTGCATTATTTATTATGAGCTGTTATCGCCAGGCAGGACCATTGATTCTGAACTCTACTGCGAACAACTGCTGAGATTAAAGCAAGAAGTTGAGAGAAAGCGGCCACAATTAATCAACAGGAGGGGGTGTGGTTTTTATAACTCTAGACCTCACACATCTTTAGCCAATCAGCAAAAATTAAGAGAGTTTGACTGGGAGGTGTTAAGGCATCTGCCGTATAGACCTTGCACCTTCAGATTACTACTTGTTTCGGTCTCTTCAGAATTCTTTAGGCAGTGTCAAGTTAACATCACAAGAGGACTGCCAAAACCACTCATCGCGGTTTTTTGACCAGAAGCCCCAGAATTTCTATAGCAATGGGATCATGTCCCTACCTACAAGATGGCAGAAAGTTGTCGAACAAAATGGGACCTACATCCTTTAGTTAAATGTAAATAAACTTTATTAAAAAATGTTTTGAAAATTCACATAAAATGCGAAGAAACTTTTTCCCCAGCCTATTATATATGAATTCGGTGGTAGAGATCGTGGATTTGATTCGGTGTGGACAAGTGTCCGTGTGATACACAATAGATAAAATACAGATACATAGAATTGGTACTTACAGGTAGGTAATTGTTGCGGATCTAAGAGTTCCAAGGAAGTTTTTTAAGCGACTGATTGTAAAAACCTGTCACAATTTGAGGTTTCAAGCACGTAAAAACCTAGCCAATACCACGGACAACATGGTTGATATGTTGTACCGACCCCGCCTAGGAGGTGTAAGAAGCATTTTGAACAATGTTGGAGGTAGTTAAAAAGTTGGAACCATCACAAACAATATAATAGAAAGAAGGCTTCGCTGGCGTGGGTACATTAAGAGACGTCTAGACGTGGTTCGGCAAACTCCTACAAGAACCGAACGCAAGAAAAGAGGAAAAACTCAAGTCCCTACATGTGGCTACTCAGTAATCTGCGACTTCGAATTTGTCCAACTTAACTTAACTTAACTCTTGTACCAAGAGAAAGAAAAGGAAGATGTCTGTTAACGATGAAATCCGTACGTTAGTTTCATTAAAATGTTTAATATTCTCGTAAATAAAATAATTTATTGTTTTATATTATATTTATTCATATTATTGAACGAAATTTTAAACTTGTAAAAAAATTATATGAAAAAAAAAAACAGAATGTGTCAATCTTGGGGTCTATTATGAGACTATATAGGAGATATCGTTCTATAATTTAAAAATAGGCGTAATATAAAAGTTATATTGTGAGCGTGTGGCAAGCGAGCAATCGGTTTACCTGATGTTAAATGAGCCTCTTGATCCCGCAAATGTCCATGGCATGAGGCTGATCGGACGAGCCAATCCGCGCAATAGCAGGTAGAGAACGAAGCTTATCCCTGCAAATTATGACCATATTTTTGTAAATGAAATATTGGCAAGCGAGCAAGCAGTTCCTCTAAGTTTACGCGATTATCTACCGTCTCTCTTGAACATCAAGAACACAATGAGTGGTTGCAGATATGTTGCCAATCTTTAACGCTTGCCCAATCTTTTAACAGCAGAAACTGCTACGCTAACTGTAGCGTAACCCAAAAAAATAAACTTTAGTATCTGCGTAAAATGGACCATTTTAATTGCTTTTATTATTAGAAGAATCTAAACAGAAAACTCAAAAATTCAGAGCATTCGGTTGTGAATCCTCTTATTAGTCTTGAATGAAATAAGAAAATACTGTTATTTTTAATTGAATTTGATTCATTCCTTTCTTTAATATAATTCTAGTAAGGATTCTTATTTATGATTAAAAAAACTTGTGATTCATCACATTTAAAGTTCCTCCTTCTCATGACATCTATTGTAGAATAGGAATATTCTTGGAAACTGTTAAACATTTATGTACTACCATCTATTGACAAATAGGTAAACTTTTAAAAGGTTTATATGTTTCCTAAGTTTTTCAATAGAGGTCACTGTACGCAATTATCAGTTAAACCGTTCCGATGTGAAGAAAATATTCACATTAAAAATTAGCATTTTTAAAACAGGTATGAAAATGGAATATTCTGAATTCTTCTGTGAATACATATTTCTTAAATATCTGGATAAAGTATATATATCCACTAAATAATGTTTTTTTAATTACCAAAAAATAGGTTAAAAATAGAAATCCTTAGACTTTAGTGTATAATACTAAAACTGTTAAAGAACAGTTTCAATATTATATTGATGAGTGACCCCAAAAATAAAGAAACTACAGAAATATGAAAAACATATTTCTATTTATATATATATATTATTCATTATAACTTTAATCATGAATCTCAAACTACAAATGAGTGATTAAGTATATAATATTATTATCTAAAACAATAATTTATTTCAAAAAGAAACGACAATAGTATGAGTCACCACAACAGTCATCGTGGCACTGTTGCCTTGGGTCTTCGGCGCCGAAGCCAATACAGTATTTCTTCGTTTATTTATGTGACCTACAGATAATTGTTTCGGATCTGCGTGCTTGTCCACGTGAAATATGTGTATGTGAAACGTCCTTACACCACAGAATATATATAACGTTATCTTAAGTATAAAAAAGACCGTTATAAACTGCCAGAACCTGCCACAACCTATCTGTATAGATAGAATGTGGTATAGATAGGATGTGGCAGTGTGACAGTGTATAGATTGTCCAGCGGAGTGGTCCAGATGATATAGATTACTGACTTGTTACTCTTTGCTTGTGATGAATAATGTTACGTTTTTACACCGCAGGCTATATAAAGCTACGTCAATCACAGAGCTCTTAAAAAAGCGAGTTTCCATTTTTTTGATAGATCATACCCTAGTAGTCATGGATGTGGATTGCGTGTTTTAGTAAACAGGCCATTGTCAGCTTTAGTAAAGAAACAGTCGGTTGTAGATTGTCACCGTGACAAGTGTCGACTGTTTCAATTGTTCGATGGGAGTTGTAATAACTGCTCCGATATATTGTGTGCTGGAATCGTCAAGATTATAGATGCGAACAAACTATAAGAGGTGTAAGTAGTGTTTTCGGACAGCAATAAATGCCTAAGGCCTTATCTTTTTTTTTTCTTTATTTGTATTATAAAAGTACACAAAATTATATAAGTATAAAATTTGCAGCAGCCAGGGCGGGACTTGCAAATGTAGAGCTAGAGTCATTTCCAGGATCAATTACAAAATTTCAGGGCAAGATTCTTTCATCCCCTTCCTCAACCGGGTTAACGTGACGTTCTCGGGCGATGTTGACCAATAGATATATGCTCCGTCACCACAAGAAGGTTGGAATGGTTTTCGGCTCTTTCAAGAAACACTTTAAATGAATTATAAAATAACGGATTATCGTTTCGTTTGTATCACTTTGTGCCAGTTGCAACGCGGATGACTTTGTTTGGAACAACCTGAAATTTCTTCAGATGTTCTGCAAGAATTTGTAAAAAAGACGCAATAGACGCGATAGTGTAGGACATTATTGGTCGTTCGCAAGTCTTGTAGAGCAAGAGCTTCAGAGCAATGTTTGCACTGAGCACTGAAAGGAATTTTACTCGAAGTGTTCTAGCCGTGTAGTTTGCTCAAAACGAATGCAGCTCTATTAGCATTATTATTATATGGGTACAGAACGACATTGTCATGCGCGGACCCTAGTAATTTTACATTTTGCGCCCAAGATATCGTTTGGCCAAAATGAATGAAATATCCTTTTCGTTTGTCTAGTTCAAGTCTTCACGGCTAAAGTTGACTATGGTATGGTCTCCGGGAAATTATATCGCTACACTATTCTTGAGAACTGAAACTGATTCACAAACATACAGAACAACCAACAAACGTCACAGACTTCAATGGCATACGATTTCAGCCAAGGGAACTTCTTTGTAAATATTCGTACACTCAAATAATAAAATGTTATCAATACAGTTTAGCGCGTAACATAATGGCGCAATGTCACAGTGTCAATGCTAATTCTCTCAAGGCTGGAGATTTACAACTGTGCACGTTAATCTGGCTGTATACAGAATTTGTATTATTGCTACAAATGATTACTATATACAAATAAGGTAGATTTGACACTAGCGCACCGAAACTGAGGCACTCAAATTACACCAATCAGTGTAATTAGATTGCAATTCTGTAGTCTCTTTCCGTAACATACGTTCTATATAATCTGTCACATTCACTTATATCTAATATAAAAAAAATCTCGTGTCACGGTATTTGTAATTGAACTCCTCCGAAACGGCTCGACCGATTTTCGTGAAATTTTGTGTGCATATCGGCCAGGGTAGAGAATCGGACAAAATCTATTTTACATCCCCCTAAATGTTAAGGGTGGTCCACCCCAAACATATTTTTCTACCCTACAAATAATTTATATGGCAAAACAACGTTTCCCGGGTCAGCTAGTGTTATATAAGTGAATGTGATAGATGATATACTTAGTAAATGAAAAAATACTAAATAGATAAATGTAGACGCTATACATATTAATAATTTTAAATTGTCATAACGACACGATTAATTTGTTAGAATTCTGTCTTGAATTTTTTATTAATTGTATTATATATTTTAAAATAAGTTTGAAATAATGTGTAATCACATGTATCGTTGAATTACAAAAGAAAACCATTTATCCAACAAGTTGCTACTGCGATTAACAGTATGTCATTGGATAATGACCTGCATATTTGCACCAGAAGAACTTATATCTATAAGGAAAATAATTTCACCGAAAATGGCTCCTTTTCTTGGTCAATGACAAAATGGATGACGTAATATGACTTTATATTGTTCTGCATTGCTTAAAGTTGTAGACTTATTAAAATTATTGAAAATTAAGGATCACACTTGTAATTAAAAAATATTTTGCTGTAAGACCCCGAAAATTATTTACAGTAGGTAAATGTTGATCGATTCGAAGAAGAGACAAATAAAATCTCATCATCATCATCATCATCATTTCAGTCTATTTGGGTCCAATGCTCCCTCATAGACTGCCACGAAGTACGATCCTGAGCCACCTGCATCCGTCGACTTCCCGTACATTGGCACAAGTCGTCACTCCATCTAGTTGTCCTACACTGCGATGTCTTCCCCAACGGTTGTAAAAATAATCTAAATCTATTCAATTGACCACTTAGTCAAGTGATGGATGTACCGGGGTGGGGTGGTTGGGTGTAGCAAGCTCATTTCTCAGTGTATTTATCTGTTAACCCACAAAACAAAAACGTTATTTTGACATAGAATTTAAAACTGTCTGTAAATCAAACGCACAGTATTATGTTAAACGGAAGATATTTTTTTTTCTTTTCATTTTCTTCTTTTTTTTTTTTCATTGCCCTCAATTTAGGATAATATAGTCATTCATAAATACGACGTACACTTTTGAAACGAATTTGTGTGCGTGTTAGTTATGAATGATCGCGAGTAAAATAAATGAGTTGTCCATAAATCACGCACTTTTTGAGATAAGTTCAAATGAATGTATTTAATTAATTACGAGTGATTTATATATGTATTATTTTTATATAACATTATTTATGTTTAGAATTTAATAAAAAAATGGATGCACTTAGAAAAGCCTCCCTGTATAGGTGTATATTTTATAATGAAAGTTTTACACTGAAAGAAACTATATATTTTTTGTTATTATTTTTAAAATATGTAGGCTTCCCCACGATGTTTTTCTTCACAGATCAGCGCGTAATAAATCAGCACTTAAAATTAGCAATAATTTTGGTCAGATACCAACCGGATTTACCAGTGCCGAAATTAGAACTCAGGTTGCTCGAGATTGAACGTACGGGCGAACGTACGGAACTTTCACGGCTCTTGTAAAGTATACATTGATGCATTAATATCGCTTTTTTGTGTTGAAATTATTGTTATTATTAAAAAATAATTGGAAAGATTCTATTTCATATTTTATACATGTATATTATTAACGATGGTTTTTAAAATTGTCCTTAAAAATTAAAAGTGTACGTCGGCAATTGGATGCGTAATATTTAAGTGCTCATTAGAAATTTCAGTCACAGACGATTTTCCTAAAATAAACACTCTTTTGATTACCGGCCGGCCCTGATGTCACCGTATAAGAGATGTCACAACTCCGGCGGCTGTTTCATTTGGCACGATCTTTCAGAGGGAGTACACCCGCCACTCATTCAGGTTCAAAATTAAAAAAAATAACTTGATAATTTTTCCACCAGTGTTATCATCTTTACTTGATATTGTTAAAATATGCTCACATATAAACTACAAAACCTACTACGCGTAGCTGATAAAGAGTCAAATGTATTTTAACAATACAACTAATAAAAAATGTACTTAATTATAAAAATGGATGTTCTGTAGTGAAGCAAAATAAAATTAAATGTGCAAAAGTAACTTTAAGACTTTTTACTAACAAACTCGCATTATAAAAATAATACAACATGGAGAGCAATTGGACAATATTCCCGCACGTGGGCCTGCGATCGCCGAATCTGACGAACACCACCGTAAGCCTGCAGGAGAACTTCGAAATAGACATTGAAGACACGAACTGGATCTTGACTTCTTCTTTTATAATCTTCACTATGCAGACCGGTGAGTACAGTGAAAGTTATTCCTTTCTGTTATCCGAAGCTATGCATATTATTTTCTAAGTGCATTGGTTTTATTTACGTAATAGTTTCATGTAATAAACAATACATGCAACCTCTTTACGTCAAACTGCTCAAAAACGTAAAGACGCGGTTAATCATAAAAAGGTTCGTAAATTTTAACTTAATATAAATACTTGGGACAATAAAAACTTGAACATGTTCGAAATAAATGATAGTATAAAAAACTAAAAAAAAACACTTTAATGGTAAACAAAACTATTAAGTAAAAAATACATTTCAATATAGGGATAAAATGTTAAACGAAAAAATGATAGTCATTGATAAAGAAGCGTGGGGTGCCAGATATCAATTATTCTTGTTGCAAAATCTAATTATTTCTATTTAGAAATGCAAAGTTAGTGTAAGATTGACAAATTAAAAATTGTAGTACAAAATAACTATTTTACCCATAAGTCCTTGATTAGTATGCAAAATTTCAAATTAATCTAACGTTTTGAAGTGGGTGAAACAAGCGTTCGAAGATTCTGTTACGGGCATACTTAGGAACATAAAAGTGAAGCTAATAAAACTTTTTTAATAAAACACACGAGCTCGTTCTATGAATCTGTATTCATATACATATATAGAAACGTATCTCAGTTATCTTCTTTATAATATAAAATTTAAGGTCGAGAAATAAGAGTTTGGATATCGCTTGAGGAAAACCTTTCCTTGGGGGCTTTAAGGCCGTCGTGCGATGCCAAACAGGTTTCTCGCACTTATTGCTAGATATATATACAATATGGAAAATATTAAGAATCGCTTTCATTATATTGCTATATTAGCTCGATAATCCAAAGCTTCATAACTTTACTGGTCGTACTTAATTTAGATATTTTTAACTGATACAACCGCAAAAAGGTTTAGATGTAGTATCGCTTAAGCTAAGCATAAAACCTTCAACACACATTACTCTTTATTGCTGCCCAAACCGGCCTCAACATCATCAAATTGGCGAAGTTACGAAGACAAGTTTTTGCAAAAATCACCGTTTCTCAATTCGACCGTATATATATTTTTTTTATGTGTGTTCGTGGATAACTTCGGCGTTCGCACCGATTTTGATGATTCTTGTTTTGTCGGAAAAGAGATATCCCAAGGGTGGTAGCATCCCAGAGAAATCGAGTGCCAACATTTGTTATAGGTATTAACAATGTTTTTAATTTTCTGATTGAAGTCTGTTTTATTTTTGTTAAAAATTATCAAAAAAATATATATACAAGCTTGGACGTGTCTTCTAAGCATTTTTAGGGTTCCGTACACAAAAGGTAAAGCGAAACTCTATTACTCCATAAAATTAATGAGCACAATAATGCCATATATTGCACCACATTTGGCTTCTATTTTTAACAACTGCATAGATTCTGGAATATTTCCAGATCTTATGAAATTTAGTAAGATAATACCTGTCTACAAAAGTGGTGATAAAAATGATCCAGGCAACTATAGACCTATTTCCATATTGCCATCTCTTAGTAAAGTTTTTGAAAAGCTAATATTAAATCAACTTTTAGTTCATTTTAATGTGAACAAAATCTTTCACGATGAGCAATATGGATTCACTAAAGGCAGATCGACAACAGATGCGGGCGTCGCACTTGTCAAACATATTTATAACGCCTGGGAAAGGTCACAAGATGCAATAGGTGTCTTTTGTGACCTTTCAAAAGCCTTCGACTGCGTAGACCATAAAACTATTCTTCAAAAGCTAGAATATTATGGCATTCGTGGGATCGCCCTCAATCTCATTGCCTCTTACCTTAGTAATAGAATTCAAAAAGTATCTATAAATGATGTTAATTCCACTGGGTCCCAGATGAAAATGGGAGTCCCACAAGGATCAATCTTGGGCCCATTATTATTTTTAGTATATATTAATGATCTCCCCTTTTATGCCAGTGGGTTTGTGTGATGTTGTACTGTTTGCTGACGATACATCGCTTATTTTTAAAGTTGACCGAAACGTATTAAATTATGACGACGTGAATAGTGCGCTTTCACATATCCTCCACTGGTTTACTATTAATAATATGGTATTAAATGCCAAAAAAAAAACCAGATGTATTCTTTTTACCCTTCCCAGTATAAGAAGGAAAAGTTTTAGTTTAATACTAAATAACGTACCCATTAATCCAGTTGAGTCTGCTGTATTTCTGGGAATTACAGTAGATTCAAAGCTCCAGTGGAGTCCCCATATATCATCTCTTGCGAATAGGCTGAGCTCCGCGGTTTTTGCGATTAGGGTTAGGCAGCTAACAGACATCGACACTGCCAGACTTGTTTACTTTAGTTATTTTCACAGCATCTTGTCGTACGGCATTTTGTTGTGGGGTAGTGCATCAGATATAAATACTATATTTATTCTTCAAAAAAGAGCTGTCCGAGCAATCTACAATATCGGAGCCCGGAATTCACTCAGAGATCTTTTCAAAGAGGTTAATATACTCACTGTTGCTTCTCAATACATTTATTGTAATGTTTTGTATATACGTCATAACCTTAATTATTACCTAAAGAATAGTGACAGACATAAAATAAACACTAGAAATAAGGACAAACTTACTACGCCATTGTTTCGTCTACAAAAAGTAAATAAGTCGTTCATGGGGCAAAGTGTACGCATGTATAATAAAATCCCACAGTCGATATTAAGTCTGCCGCTTGACCAATTTAAATGTAAAATTAAAAATCAACTGATGATTAAAGCATATTATACCATTTCGGAATATCTCGACGACGCCAATGTGTGGAGTTAATACTGTTGATACTCACGTAGGCTAGAATAAGACTATTATACCTGTATATTATATTGTACCCTGATATTTTTGAAAACGAGCAACTGTTGAGTTTCTTGCCGGTCTCTTCTCAACAGAAACCGCTTTCCGAACCGGTGGTACCTTACGAACCTATACACATAATCTTTGATGTAAAATTTGACGATTCATAAGAGCGCGCAAGCGTCTATTTGAATAAATATATTTTGATTTTGATTTTGACTCAGACGCCGCTGTCTGTCTGTCTGTCCCCAGGCTGTATCTCATGAACCGTGATAGACGGTTGAAATTTACAGACGATGTATTTCTGTTGCCGCCTATAACAAAAAATACTAAAAAACAGAATAAAAACTATTTAGGTTTGGCTCACATACAATGATATTTTATTTGCCGTATTGTAGATAAATTTTGTGAAACCCTTCGTGCGCGCGTCTGACTCGCACTTGGCCGGTATGAGCCATCTCTGCTTTGTTCTCTTCTTTTCTGAAGTACAACAAGACACGTATCACCACTACCACGCTAACTAAATGCCTGGAGTGAATTATATGTTTAAGGAATCATCTATAATTTATTTGTCTCCTCTGTAATGCCTATAAACTTGTATAGCAAATAGTCAAACACCACGAAGCAATGCCAAAGTAGGAAAGCGAGTTTCGCATACAAATGTCGAATAATACAAACTATACGGACAATTATTATAAAAATGGCTATGGTACTTTGTCGGTAAGTATTTAAAACAACAAGGACAGCTTTGTTCTTCTTTTCTGAAGTATAATAGACTCGTATCACCGCATGTATAATGTAGGTAATTTAAATTATATATATTGAATTATCTGTGCACGCAACTTCGTCCGCATGGAATATAAAATAAAAAAAAATCTAAAATAAAAGTAACCTAAGTTACTCCTTATTACATCAGCTATCTGCCAGTGAAAGTCTCTTCCAAATCGTTCGCCGTTTCAGATATTAGCCGGAACAAAAAGACAAAAAAAATGTTATTTTGGGAAATATACCGTGTGTGTACACATTCATATGCATTTAATTTAATTTATCTGTATAGATGTATAGATTATGTCCCCTCTGTGGTGCCAATAAATTAGTATAGCAAATAGTGTTACACCATGAATAAATGGCAAAGCAGGAAAGCAAGTTCCGCATACAAATGTCAGCTAAAACAAAGTGTCCGGACAATTAAAATAAAAATTGCTATTGTATTTCGTCGGTACTTATTTAAAACTGCAAGGGCTGGGGATTTGTTATTTGAAACACGTTACTCTTTGATTCCATTATAATTAGATACTCTTAAATGCCATTGGAATTATCAAGTGGTCTATCAAACTTAAATCAACGCCGAACATAGAATACGCATATCTGCTGACACGTATAAACCACAAAGGGTTCCGTACTTTTATATATTTTAGTTATCGTTGTAGTATCTGCACTTCAAGTCCCCTGGCTCCTGCTAAATTATACTAAATATTTTTGTGTATATACTTATATATATATATATATATATGTATATATATATATATATATATTAATTATTTATGATCGCAGAGTTTCTTGCCTGTTCTTCTTTTGCACGTCTAGTTTAGGGAACCGGTGATAGTTTTTGACGTTCAATAAGAGCTTAAAATAAGCCTATGTTGAATGAAGAAATTTTGCCTTTGACTTGATTTTTTTTGTTTATGTATCATCTATTATGGAAAATCTATTCCTATCCAATTCTAATCATTCGATTAAAATAAAAAAAAATTAAATTAAATTTGCATATATCGCAATATTTTTGATTCTCTTAGACTCATTTCCAAAAAGCAATATTTTTTTTATAGAGTTTCTTTTAAGAACTCTAAAATGCAATATTTTTTGGTTCACTCAAGAAATCCATAGGACGGGACAAATCAAAATAAGGAACTCTAAAAAGCAGTCAAATAAATTTATTCAATTTATGTCCGCTATAAATAACGTGACAAATGTTTGTAACATAAAAAAAAATAATGGATGTATTGTTAATCTATTATTTAGTTAAATTTATTATACTTAGCATATCATCAACTATAGAAATACGTAACTAAATGGTACATGTACGTAATACAGTCGAAGGGCACGATTTAATTTCAGGCAACTAATAAAATGAGAGATACATTTGAACATGGCTTCAATAAAATGAAAAAGGGTAAATAGTAAACTTACAAAGTAGTATAGTAACAACATAGTTTAGACATAGCTAGACTGTTAGACTAATTCCATAACATTTTATATCGTTTTAAAAACAAATTTTAATGCTAACACTTTATGTCTTTTTGTAACACAATCATAGTTAAAATAAAATACAATTAACAAATTATCTGCTGCGTCCAACAAAAGTTAAAGTAAAAGTATTTTACGGATTCTATCGCGTTTTATTTGTTTTTACGTTCTCGACGACCGACGAGCTCTTGGTAACGCGGTACATAACATTTTACATACTCATGGGTAGAATCATTAGGAATATTTGAATCCAGATTACAGGAATATACGTAATTTAAATAAACACCTGACATACGATAACTTAATTTTTTAACAAAGAGCCTACTGAGTAGACGAAATGAAAAACATGATTAATAAATTGTTAAACAGCAATACATTGTGAGAATGTTTTTTTTTTTTGGATATCAGTATTTTTGTTAATAAAAGGATTTGGTTTATTAATATAAATATATCCGTTTAATATTTATTTGAAATCATATTGTTGGTTAACAAACCATTCTTAACACAGAACTTTATTATGCCACTCTCTTAACACGTTCTAGTTATATTTAAAGAAACAGTATATTTTATTTTGAAATGGAGTTTATTGCATTAAACATCTTAAAGGAAAAACCTTAAAGTATTCACATTTTCAAAATGAAGCATTTTTTAGGTTTCGGTATGTTGGAATCCGGAGTTGTATCAATCAAAAATGAGGCTAACATTATGATGAAGAACCTAGCTGACATCTCTCTTGGAGGTAATAATATTTTAAGTTTTGTACCTACAAAATTTTCGCAAATGTTACGAGACATCCACTTCGTTTATTAATAACGTAAAATATCTGCATGCGATATTTAAGAAAAATATAGTAGGTATAATTAATATATAAGTACATATAACGCTTAATAAATCATATTATAGTTTGGACTACAAGTAATACCTACTGCTGTATTTAATTACTCTGTCATGAATATTTCCTCTGATCGTTTTTAGATCATTGTTAAAAATATATTAATGAACATCTACGATAAATTTTTGTTTCACTTCTGTCATAGAAATATACAATTACGAGAGATCATCTTAAAAATGTTATTTATTGAGCCTTAATAACATGTCTGCTTACGTATCCCTTATTTTTCATAGGGCTGACGTACTGGATATTTGGTTACGGCCTATCCTTCGGCCAGGGTTCATGGTCGAACCCTTTTATTGGCGTCGGCGACTTCCTCCTGGATCCGCCGGTTGGAGACGCTCTCATGGGGCCGGTTCTCGCTTCGTTTCTTTTCCAGCTGTCGTTTGCAACGACTGCCACGACGATTGTTAGCGGTGCTATGGCTGAAAGGTTTTTATTTTTAAGCTTTATTTCAGACACAACTTGTTGCAAATACATTTTACACCTTCGAGGTGAATGTCAATTGTTTTGTGCAAGGCTATTTCATAAATAAATTATTATTAGGAGTCCTAATAATATTGTATTAACGTCAGTTTTCAGTATTTTTCTCCGTCTGTCCATTACTTTATCTTGAATAGACTCGGTAAGAGTTTACTTTTAATAAAGGATTTACTAGATAAGAAAAAGTTAATAGAAAAGAAGTTCAAATACCAAGGATTACTTTGCCACCAGAATAACAGTCGCAAAACATACGAGACACCGAGACAGTGCCGCGTTCATTTCTGGCCGGCTCTGCAAGCAACTTAACCAACCCCGAAATGCCCCGAAGGCTTGTAAACAAGGCTATTAACTAAGGAATTGTTTTACAAGGCTCGGGTACGACTTATAATGTCCTACGCTTGTATGCCTTTTGCTCACATAAGCCCCACAAACGGGCATAAATATTCATCAATAAAAAATAATATCATCATCTTCAGATAATGGAGTTTTATCATAATCAACGCCCCACTACATGACTTATCCATCCTACTATTTTGACTAGGTGTAACTTCAAAGCGTATTGCATGTTCTCCTTCTTGAATACTATCGTGTACTGCGTCCCCGCTGGGTGGGTGTGGGGCGAGCATGGCTTCCTCAGCAAGCTAGGCGCCGTGGACATCGCTGGATCTGGACCGGTACATCTTGTTGGTAAGACGATTATTAATTCCTCACTTTTGTCCTAATAAGAAGCACGAGAGGGAGAGAGATTGGCGTACAGGATTATACATTTGCGATAGCAAACTCAATAAACACACCATAACCCAAGTGGAGTTGCAGATGTCCTTTGAAGCGGTCACTTACCACATCGGATGTTAGGTGACCCTCCTTGTAAAGACAAGTGGTGATGCGAAATTAAATGAATGATTTTTGCACTTTAATCGCCATAGAAGCGCCATTCAAACTTAACGACTTGAACCCAAGCTACCTAAAATCTTAAACCGTTCACAAGACTAGGTCTTATCTATCTATATGTATACTATACACTTACAGTACTTACAGTGTCTCTAATTATTACGATCGTCGCAGTTGTTGAATTATCTTTTAACTGTTGTCGACAACGGAGATAAAACAACGGAGATAAAACAAAATGGTAACCAACACATAAAACCTTATGCAAGAAAATGCCCTGAAATATTTAACTGTTACTATATTGTCTAGGGGGATCGTCAGCATTTGCCTCAGCACTGATGCTGGGCCCTCGGTTAGGCCGATACGCCAACGGGAACTCGCCGCTGCCTTTGGGTAACCCTGTCAACGCTGTCATGGGGACGTTTGTCCTGTGGTGGGGCTGGCTAGCTTTCAACTCTGGGAGCACCTACGGGGTAATCATTCTAATGGTTTTCGTGTCTATAAAAATTTGTAAAAAAATAGAAGAAAAGTCTTCCTTCGCTGCGGGAATCGAACCCACGTCTTCCGGATGCGCGCCCAGACGCTTTAGCCACTAAACTAAACGGCTGATTGCCACACCGGCGTATTTTATTCGCATTGTATTTTTTAGCAATGCAGTTTAGTATCGCTAAATGTGACGAACCCACATTCTGATGGTAAGAGAATGCCATCGTAATCGCTGGTAATACGAATAAGTAAAAACTTACATAACGCCTAAAGTGCGATATTATTCTATAAAAACTGAACTGTTTTGTTGAGAATCTGTTTTAATTTAACAAATTGAAAAATATTAAGTCATAAATTCTTTACAAGATTTTATTTTTTGTAAAAAACTGCCTTTACTGTGCGATAACATTATCCTGTGTTGTAAGAGCATTTTACAAACATAAAAATTCACGTGGAAAAACACCCAGCGAAAACATCTGTGGGTCTCACAAAAAGTTGCACTCTGTAGGAATCGAGCCCATGACCCCCGGCATCGAAGCCAATACTTTGATAACTGGGCCACAGAGTACGTTAACGTAATCTGCTATTAGGATATTTTTATTTCTTACCCCCATGTCTAAATCTTAACTTTCCTACTATACTAATTTTCCGTCTAATATTTAACGAGGACAATTACTACGTGGCGTGACCGGGGAATTGTTGCCATTACGTAAAACCCATCTAATTTTTAAAATGGCGACGTTTACGAACAATCAAACTGAAACGACAACTCATTAGGCCACGGTTTCATTATGCATTCGCTCGGTTCCAGCCACATTGTGATTTAACCTCGCCACTGAAAAATATATAGGTAAAGGACGTCGTTAAATCACTGTCTAGGAATATTTAAAACTTAATTATATTATGTTTTTTATTTTTGTCTAGACATATACGCATGATTCAGATAGGTATAAAATTATTCTGGTTAACGTTATGACATCACTTACGAGTTTAACAAAAATAAAAAAAGTTACGCGATGAAGTTTCGCTTTAACTTCAACTTCATCATGTCGCTATAATAACAACTTTTTCTGTAAACATTTACAAATAATTTATTAATAAGTTATATAAAACGTTATCAATTGCATTTAATGTATTTACGCTAAAGAAGTATAACTTCTTACGTACGTACTTAAGTACGTACACATATTTTTTTTGGTTAATAAAAATTAACTTGTAGACGACGGCGCTCGCGATTACCGGTCTGAGAGCAAAATAATATGCTAGAGCTAAGAATTTGGATAGCAGCGTAAAGTCTAGACCGTAATTCCATAGACAATACCTAGGAGGCTAGGAAGCGACGAGGCGAGTGAGATCAGTCCAGCCGGCTCCGTAGACCGTCAGCTTAACAATGTAATAACGACAGAATGAGAACGTGTAGGCGTAGAATCCATAAAGAATATTCTCGCTACCATGCCCAAGTAGTGATTTCAGAAAAGGGTTCACGCTTCATATCGAATTTTTATGTACAAAAACCTATTTCAACTTTACTTACTTACTTAGTAGGTACACTAGGGACACTTGGTATGTTAACATTATTTCTCAATAATTTAATCAAAATATTAACATATAACCGGCGAAAACTATCCCTTTTTTTGATAATATCTTGTATTAACGCGATTAAACATTATAAATGAAGCATTTGTTGTTACGGATTTATAGCGTTCACTTTTAATTTTAATTCCCCCATTTCCAACCCTTCACAGCGTTCATTGTCACGGGACGGAAAAAAAATAGTTTCACTTTTTTTCTTTTTTATTAAATCATAAAAATTAATACCAACAATGAAATGCAGTGTTTGCTAAGATGGCCGAATTTTTTAGCAAAAGAATATTATCCCCAACTAAACGTTAATAATAAAACTATAAATAAAACCCCAATAAAACTTGAACTGTATCTGGGCGAAGCCTGGGCAATCGCTAATATAAAATGTTTTAACAACTTCAATTACACTAATGACAAGAATTACTCTTCTAGATTTACAAACAGGAAACAATGTGAGAACTATTATAATAAAACGCAATAGCTCTGAAAGGCCGTAGTGTCCTCGCGTGACTCTTTTCTACATCCTCAAAACGTTACAAATAAGTAACTGCCGTAAAATTTACATTTTAATCTTTTTAAGAGATTTTACCTTAAAGGTATTATACACAAGTTATAAATAGAATTATTCGTTCTATCATTATCAATTGGTATTCAAAATAAATAACTTTTATGGAAAAACGAGTACTTCATAAACTTTTCCCAACATCCCCTAACTTTGCCCTAAATCTATAAAGAAGTAGCGATATTTTGAGGTCGAAACAGTCATGACTACAACGCCTTGCCTAATTACTTGTTTGCATTTTCTTAATTTCTAACCATCAATGTCAACGGTAGCATAATAAGTTGACATAGAAAACACGAAATAAAATAAGAAAATTTCTATGGTTCTATTATTTCGACTCTACTCAAAGTGTTACAAGTTGTTTTTATTAAAATTTGTAGAAAAAGTAGGTACGAAAAATTTGTCGCCGCTGTGGGAACCCGCGTCTTCGGCATTCGCGGTCTGACGCTTGAGCCACTAAACTACTAACTTTTTTTTTTACTTTCAGAAACAAAACTTAAAACCTATTAACGAAATGTCATCGGCATTTTTTAAGGACTTTGTTAAACGAAATGTTCAAAAAGACAAAAGCAATGAACATAGGCTGAGATAAGGCTGAAGAAAAGTGTGTTTTAAAATTTTAGGTCAGTGGAGCAAAATGGCAGTATGCAGCTCGAGCGGCGGTTATGACGATGATGGGTTCTTTCGGTGGCGGTTCTTTTGGCATACTGTTAGTATGAAATTGATTAGTCATAATTCTTTCTCTTATACCTAACAAAAAGAGCTAGTTGTTTTTATATTGGAGCTTGAGTATGTTCAAATCAGGTTGATGAATTTATAGTCACCCACAAAGACAATATTTTTACGTAAAGTTATAAAATGAATTATTATATATTAGTTATCTCGCTCCGTGCATCCGTTGTGTTTTATTGGAAGATTTTAAATAATACCTTGGATTGTAACTCTAAATTAATTTCATTAGTGACGAATACAATGAACAATAAATAAATTTTGTTTATTGACGTATTATGACAGCAATGGAAGGGGTTATAATAATTTGGGTTATAAATAAGAATGCGCCTTGCATTCTTATTTATAACCCAAATATACTAAGTTTGCCTAGTAAGGCGACGGGTCCCGGCTTATATTAGTGTAATGTAGTGTAATATCTCCCGGGTGATACAGAAAAAATTCATTCCATTGGGGAAGGCCTGAAGTTAGAAACGGATCTATAATGGCCACTGAGGGTATTTGTAGATATGCCTGTCTCCTAACCGGGAGATGGGTATCATTGACGATTTCCCTCAAAAACATTTCCTGTTCAACATCTAATTATGGCAATACACACGCGTTTGCATGTGTTTTGATTTCTGTTCTCATTCATATAATACAAAAACCCCAAGTATTAAATAATTGATCTAAAGGCGTTGTAGCTGTCATTATTGTTTCCTAATTTACAGATACACAATGATAAAGAACAAAGGCAGAGCTGATGTTATGGAATTGATTAATAGCATCCTTGGGGCACTAGTTTCAATCACTGGCAAGTATTTTAGTATTATATATCTATGGTCTGAAGTAAAATTGTTATTATTATTAAGTTTGGATAATTTTGAAATTGCCGTCGTTTCGAAACGATGACATTATGACATGCAAGGCGAACCCCATGTACATCATCATCATCGTCGTCAACCCGAATCAGCCCACTACTGGGCATAGGCTTTCTCCCTCTTGCGCCATTTATCTCTGACTTGAGCGGATCGTATACACGTTTTTCCTGCAATCGTTATGATATCATCGACTCATCGGGCAGGTTAAACCATGGGCATATCAACGATATTTTTATCTTCGTGTAGTATTATCGTTGTTTTTTATGCGAAAAGTTAGCAAGCGAGCAGTTGGGTTACCTGTTAAGTGATCGCCGCCCATGGACAACCACAGCGCAGAGGGTTTACCGTTTAAAAACGGGGAACTCCAGTTACCTCGCGCCAGACGAAACGTAATGTATAAACAATACTTCCACTTCACGCCGGTCTTCTAAAGCCGGACGAGCCTGCCTATTCGTATGGAAACGAAACGGATTCGTAGTCCTACCACAGACAATGCAAAAAGGTGCAGTTTATTATTGTATTACTCTTCGTGTATTCTGTAGCGCATAGAAAAAAACAAATAAAAACGGGCCAAGTGCAAGTCAGACTCGCGCACGAAGGGTTCTGTACCATTATCTATAAGAACGGCAAAAAAAATGATATCTGTTGTATGGGAACCCTGTTTTAATATTTTTATTTTATTTTTTGTATTTTTAGTTGATATAGCGGCAACAGAAATATCATCTGTGAAAATTTCAACTGTCTAACTATCACGGTTCATGAGATACAGCCTGGTCACAGACGGACAGACAGAAGACAGACAGACAGACAGACAGACAGCGGAGTCTTAGTAATAGGGTGCCGTTTTACCCTTTGTGTACGGAACCATGATGTTACGTTTAGTATTATATGATTCTTAATGGTAAAACTTCCAGCCGGATGCTTCTTGTATCGCGCCTGGGAGTCCCTGGTGATCGGTATGATTGGTGCGGCTATAGCGTCTGTCAGCTCCATACTCTTCGATAAAATAAGAATCGACGACCCGGTCGGTGCTTCCGCTGTGCATGGCGCCTGCGGCTTTTGGGGTGAGATGTTCATTTCGTCTAATTCCTTCATTCCTAAGGATTCTAAGCACGTGTCTTACATTTCTTTTAATTAGATAGAAACATAGATTCGGCACGTATACATATACTACATAAATGTGTTTGAAAATATCCTTACAGCTCCTAAAAGGTACAAAGTTTTTAGGTAAAGATTCACTCAAGACAATTACTATAAATAATGTATAATCTATGTTGTAAATTCCCCTATTGGCGAAAAAGGTAAGACATGATAGATTTGTTGATTGGTAATCTCAGATTATACATACTCTTTTGATGTTAACTCTGACCTGTTTGGTTTATGTATCATGTTTGAATTACTTTGATGGGAAAGATTTATTCCCAATCAATGATGAATTCAATGAAGATAAATTATTGGCACATAGAATAATAAAAAAATATATTAAATTAACACGAAATACATAATTATAGAAAGACAGTTTTTACAAAGACGTTTTTCTCTCGACTGCAATTGACACACACTGGAACAGTACAATTTTCAAATGTAACACCTGTTATCTGTAAGTGGCCAGTAATCCTTAGCGGAATGTTATGAAATCTCTAACACTCCTCCGTAACATTGCGCTACTCATAAGGCCACTCAATCACTCATTCGATACACACTCAACACTTACACAAATTCATACCCATGCCTCTCAAACATAACTCAAACTTTCCTCTTGGCAGGGCCTTTGTGAATATGTCAGCTACCATCGACTCTGTTCCCAGATACTTCAGACTGATCACTTTGTTGCGAAGTGCCTCTCTGATAAAGTGAACTCTAACGTCAATGTGCTTTGACCTCTTATGGCAAGAGTCCTCACTGTTTGCCATAGCTATTGCAGACTGACTATCACTACTCAGCTTAATAGTCTTGTTAAGTCCAGTTATTTCTCCAAATAACCTCTTAAGGAAAACTGCTTCTCTTGCAGCATTTGACAAACTAATATATTCCGCTTCTGCACTTGATAAAGCAACTACTGTTTGTTTTCTGCTTTCCCAACTCACAGGTGCAGACCCAAATTTAAAAATATAACCTGAATAGGACTTGCGATCTGTTACATCACCCGCATGATCTGCATCAACAAACCCTTCTAAATCTCTTCCACTTTGTTTAAACACCAGCCCCAGGCTTTTGGTGCGTTTAAGATAGCGAAGAACTCTTTTTTAGTGTCTGCCAATGTTGCTCTCCATAGCAACTATTAAACTGACTCAAGTAACTTATTGCAAAAGCTACATCTGGTCTTGTGCAGACTGCCAAATACATTATAGAACCTACTAATTCTTGATAAGGAATGTTATTAGGCGGCTCATAATTTGTTTCCACCGGTTTGGTCAACCTATAACCAGCAATGAGAGGTGTAGAAACAGGTTTGCAGTCCTGCATGTTAAACCTGGCTAATATTTTCTCTATATAGCCTTCCTGATCTAGTGTAATGTCATCTTCAGTTTGTTGTAGACGCATTCCCAGAAACAAATCCGCTTTACCAAGATCACGCATCTCGAAGGTATCTCTTAACTCCTTCTTGACTTGCTGCATCTCTGCTTTATTGTTCCAAAAAATCAATAGATCATCAACGTACACCGCTAGGATTATTAGCCTGTGTTGACTTCTCCTTATATAAACACATGGTTCGTTGTCTAGCTGAGTGAACTTCAACTGTTTCAGTGCTGAGTCCAACCTTTGATTCCAAGCTCTTGGGGCCTGCTTCAAACCGTACAACGACCTTTTCAGTAAGCACACGTAATCCTCTTTTCCCTTCTCCTCAAAACCTTCAGGTTGCTTCATGTACACTGTCTCTTCAATGTACCCATTAAGAAAAGCGGTCTTCACATCCATTTGATCAATTTTTAATTTATTCTCGGCAGCCATTGCCAACAAAAGACGCAATGAACTATGCCTGATCACAGGTGAATATGTCTCAAAGTAATCAACACCTCCGCGTTGTTTGAAGCCCCTCGCTACAAGCCTTGCCTTATATCGTTGCTTGTTTCCAGCTTCAGTCTTAACTTTAAGAACCCACTTGCTATCGATCACGTTTTGTTTTGGCTCTCTCTTTACTAGCTGCCAAGTTCGATTCTTGTGAAGAGCATCCAATTCTTCCTTAATAGCCTCACGCCAAAGTAAGCTGTCTGTCCCTGCGAGTGCTTCTCTGACATTTATAGGTTCCTCCAAACCAAAACCACTCTCTCCGGGTAGAACTGCTTGATATAGAACGTGATCAGGGAATTGTCGTGGCTTTCTGTTTCTCATAGGGTATCTCCGTGCATCCGTTTGATCACCTCTATGATCATTCTCCTCCGAAACGGGTGCATCGGAACTCAGATACCATTGTTCAGTATCATCTCTGTCTTCAGTCTCCTCCGTAACTGAAGAAACAGCACCTGTTCTGTCCTGTTCTATATTAGCTCCAATATCCTCTGACTCAGGCATCATAATACCTCCTCCGTTCCCTGAGAGGTGTCTCTCTGTTTCATTTCTACAACCATCCTCTATCTCTTCTCCACAGACCACCTCCTCCGTTGATTGAGTACTTGTTAGTGGTACCACAGTGAACTCCGGAATCGGTCTTTGATGAGAAGCAGAATTTTGTCTAATAGTCAAAATCTCACTAGATGGTTGTTTCCGTGAAACTATATTATTCTCAAAAAATACTACATCTCTTGCCTTATGAAGATTTCCAGAAACAGGATCCAACAGTCTGTACGCTTTGGAATTTTCGCAGTATCCTAAAAGTATAAGCTCCTTACTCTTTGGATCTAGCTTGCGCCTCTTTTGGTCAGGAACGTGCGTGTAGGCCTTACACCCAAAAACTTTCACGAAGCCTAGGTTCACCTTTCTTCCCGTCCAAGCTTCTTCAGGTGTTTTATCCTTGAGAGCCTTCGTAGGCGACCTATTTTTAAGAAAAACTGCATATACAAGAGCCTCTGCCCAGTAGCGTTTTTCTAATCCTGCCTCATGCAGCATACACCTAGCTTTTTCCATGAGAGTTCTATTTGCACGTTCTGCCACCCCATTCTGCTCAGGGGTATACTCGACAGTAAGTTGATGAACTATACCGTACTTCTTAGTGAAACTTTTCATTTCATTGTTCACATATTCTTTGCCGTTGTCTGTTCGGATTGACTTCAGCTTCTTCTCTGTTTGCCTCTCTGCAAAAACTTTAAATTCTTTTATTTTCTATTTCAACAGCTTCGCTCTTATTCTTCAATAAGTAGACAAAAGTTTTCCTTGTCTTATCATCTATAAGTGTCATAAAATATCTGTACCCCGACATAGAGTTGATACTCATTGGCCCACAAATATCAGAATGTACTAACTCAAGTACTTCACTAGCTCTTTTAACCTTACGCTTTGGAAAAGGTTGCCTTGTTTGCTTACCCATCAGACAAGATACACATTCTAAGTTACTATTAGAATTTAGAAAATTTACCCCATCTGCCAGTTTGTCTCTCAAAAGTTTAAGATTGCTTACTCCTAGGTGACCCATCCTCCGATGCCACAACATCAGTTGATCGTCCTTCTGCATACTGGAGACTAGTGCTATAGTGCCCTGTTGAAAAGGATTAAGTTTATAAATGCCATTATCTACCCAACAGTCACCAGCCACAACTGATCCATTCACCTCGCAATCATCCGAATTGTAGATTTCACAACCTCTGTTTGAAAAAACTACAACTCTTCCTCTTTTGACTAACGTATTTACGCTTAGTAAATTTGTAGCCAAGTCAGGAGCATACATAGCGTCTCTCACTCTTATGCTCCCATCCACATCAACTACATCACCAATTCCTAAGCCATACACCTTACCACCATCCGCGCATGCAATCTCTCTCTTCGATTCATACGCCACATAATTCCTCAGCCAACCTTTATCATTTGTCATATGTGAACTCGCTCCCGAGTCAATCACCCATTCCGCTGAAGATCCTTGACCACTGGTCGCAAAAACATTTGCTGATGCCGAAAAATTTTTTCTTCTGTTAGGATTGTCAGGACATTCAGCCGCTTTGTGATTTCCTTCACATATAAAGCATTTCATCGCCTTAGCTTTCTGGTTTGCTTTGAATTTTCCTTTCCCTTTCTTCTTGCTTGCTGTAAGAGCAGAATCATCTTGTTGAAAACTAGTTGATGGTGTGCTCTCATCGCTTAGGTTGTATAACTTCGTTTTGACATAGTTTGTAGTAATAGTTATATTACTATTTTCAATAGCCATCTTCAATGGTTCATACTTCTTTGGGAGACCTTGAAGCATCAATGTAGCCAGAATCTCATCATCAACATCTTTACCAATGTCACTAAGTTGCTGTGACACTGACAGTATGGCTGTCACATATTTTTCAATTGTTTGAAATTGCTCCAATCTCATGCTAACTAATCTGCCCAACAATCGACATTTGTTATTTATGCCCTTGTCCTCATAGGCTTTGCTTAGCGCCTCCCAGGCCTCTTTTGCCGTCTTTGTCTTTCTTATCAAGGTGCGACATCTCTGATCCACCATCAAACCGATTCGAGCCCGTGCTTTTTGGTCTCTACGAATGCCTGCTACATCCTCCGGCTGTGGTGACACTTGCGTATATTTCCACAAATCATCATCCGTTAGATACAACTCCATATCAAACTTCCATGTGTGAAAATTAGAGCTTCCTACTAATTTTTCAATATACGCAGCATTAACGCCCGCACTTCGTATTTCTGTACTCGAATTTTCATTTTTATATCCATCATGCGACATTTCCATATTTTCACTAGTATTCATCTTGGCCCATAACCCTGATGGGAAAGATTTATTCCCAATCAATGATGAATTCAATGAAGATAAATTATTGGCACATAGAATAATAAAAAAATATATTAAATTAACACGAAATACATAATTATAGAAAGACAGTTTTTACAAAGACGTTTTTCTCTCGACTGCAATTGACACACACTGGAACAGTACAATTTTCAAATGTAACACCTGTTATCTGTAAGTGGCCAGTAATCCTTAGCGGAATGTTATGAAATCTCTAACATAAATTAAATATGGAATGTTATTTTATTTGTTCAGACTGAATTGTGTCATATTTGAATGATTCCGTTAAAATCGTTTGGAGAAGTAACATGTCTAGCTATATGACATAACTCTTGTATTTTACATAAATTTCATAATGATTACGTTTCGTTAAAAATAAGTTCAAAATGTTTAAGTTCAAATAAATAGTTTTATTATCAGTCCATAAGTGTCTTCTTGGCTTGAAAGAGATACCATTTCTTGAATGGTAGAAGTGGCTGATGGGATCATTTTCAAACCGAAAAGACACTTAAGGAGTGATAAGAAAACTATTTATTGGAACTTAAACATTTTGAACTTATTTTAGACCAAACGTAATGATTATGGAATTTATATAAAATACAAGAGTTATGTCAGATAGCTGTACAGGTTACTTCTTCAAGTTATTTTTACGGAATCAATCAAACATGACACAATTCAGTCTGAACAAATAAAACTAACATTCCAAATTTAATTTAAAGTAATTCAAACATTAATACAGAAACCAAACAGGTTGACATCAAAAGAGTATGTATAATCTGAGATTACTAATCAACACCATTAGCCACATCTACCATTCAAGAAGATTAACCAGTAATCTCTTTGCCTCAACAGGGGTCATAGCGGTTGGACTCTTCGCGGATAACCCAATACCTTTGGAGACGACAAACGGGAGATCCGGCTTATTCAAAGGTAATTTTAACACAGTAAAATTCAAACATCTACGATGAAAAGAATTTGACATAATATCACCGTTTTGTCTCGAAATGTTTAATTCAATTTTATTTTGCCATTATTGACGACAACCAGACAAATAGAACATAATTACCTAATGTTTTTTTTTCATAAAGAATGTATGATAATGCTATCTATTAGCAATTTGTATAAATGAAGTAAACTTTTAGACTGAATTTTACTGTTATTCTTCAAAATAAGCTACGTTTTGTTGATAAATACTTATTTACATATTATATTAATTTTTTTTACTTGTCATATTTTTCCATTTCATAAGTATGTGTCATTTATTTTAGAAAGAAGAAATAAAGAAGAAATGTTTATCCACGGTCTAATCACAACAGATACATGTAAAACTTAATAAATAATGTAACTACATAATATATAAAATTTAAATAAATTTAAACGGTGAATGTCTAGAACAAAAGTGATTAATTAAAGAAAAAGTTGAAATATTATAAGTGTTCATGGTGTTAGCCAAAATTTCGTACATTTCTGATAATAAAAATGATTTAATGTGAAGCCTATTCTTTTCGGAAAAGCCTTCAACATATCTGCAACCACTCTAGTGTTACTTTGTGCGTAGAAATGATCATTTAACACAAGGCAAGCCCTTTTGAAGTCTACCACGAAGTGTATGAAATGGAATTTGTGATGTGCAGGCGGCGGCTGGTACCTACTTGGGGTGCAGACGCTTACGGGTGTCTGCCTAATGGCGTGGGGCGTTTTCGTCACTATGTTGCTGCTATGGCTGATCGACCGCGTGCTGCCCATCCGCATGGACCCCTACGAGGAGCTCCTCGGCGCGGACCTCACCGAGCACAGAATCCGCCACGGGCAGGTAATTTTAACATAAGATAAGGAAACAGTCTATAGAATTGCAATCTAATTAAAATTTAAAAGTAATTTAAAAATAAACAATTGAAATAGTAGATTCTCGAACAAACTGCACATGCCTCCCCATCGGTACCGCAATGTTAAGCAGAAACTGTTATTGTATGGCCATTAGGATATAGAATTAGTTACCAGATAGATTAAAAACTGTAAATTTAAAATTGTTCAAGCGAAATCTGGTTAACTTTGTGATAAGTAAAGGTTACTATTCCACAGGGATTATTTAAATGATAAAAATTTATAAAAACACTTTCCTGAATTATATTTTCTTTTGTTTTCATGAAAAGAAATGAAAGGCGTTAATGTCACTTTTAACAATTAATAAGAAAATATGTAAAAATATTCCTAACGCAACAACATATTAAATTGCATTATTCAGGTGGGAGTTTCTCGTGCGGTGTCAGCGCTTCGTCCGTTTCATCGTACCAAGAGCATAGAGGAAGTAGGCGGCATTGGAATGAATACTGGCCACAATCTCATTGTGGATAAGTTACAAGAGGTTCGTTTTCAACTAGACTTTCAGGATCGAGCTTCGTGGCAGTCTGTGTGAAAGGCATATGTTCACCAGTGGACTCTAACAAGCTAAAATAGTGAGTATGATGATGATGATGATGATATTTTCTATAGCCAATTCGTTAGTTACCGGGAAAAATTAGAAGCCTAATTAATGGTAATGCTTACAAATGGTGAGGCTTATACGATGGAATGTGTAAAAATGACAGAGAAAGTAAGGAGAGAACTTGAACAGGGCTTTTACTCTCTGTGTGTCGGGTTTATATATGGTAGCGAATAATTTGCCATGATGATATTTCTTTTTGTTTTGTACAAAAAAAAACCTTTTTATTCTGGTTTATAATTTTTATTTTATTATATCCTTATTATGGTTAATCAGTCGGACTAGGTCTTAAAATAATAATTTTGCAACGTTTTCTAATTTGAAATATAAACAATAGGATATACATATAATAACCCTTTTTTGATAAGTTTTTTAAAACCAAAGTTGTAATTTTCGCGCACAGGCGAAGAGAAGAAAGGAGGCCAGTCCGAGCGGAACACTCCAAGCGTTCTCCAACCAGGCTTTCGTCGAGGAGGGGTCCGAGAAGACCTTCAGGAACGACGGCCTCCTGAACAAACGGGCCGGCAACCCCCAGAACGAGCTCCACCGCGCCCTCACATCGATGGCGCGCGAAATAAACGGCGCGAAACAGAAACGCGGAACCGGAAGATGGCCGCGGAGAAACGAAACGAGTGGCGTCGCTCGCCTAACGCCGGAAACGATAAAAGGGAGGAGGTTTAAGGAGTTATCGGCCGCAGAGCTGCAGGAATTGGGCGAAATGAACGCCAGCCAGGATCGCTTCAGGTATCGCTACACGGAAGACGATTATGCGGACGACGTTAGGAGAAGCGACACGCCCAGCGTTAATATGCGGTGGATCGATTAATCCTTCGATCTATGCGTCGCTTTTTATTTTAGCAAGGTTATTCACAAATATTATTATTGTTTTGATACGATAAAAAATAAACATGACTTCAGAGTTTAGCAAACAGCGTGGTAATGTCTTCAGGATAATGTTAGTTTATGATTTGGCGCTTTAAGTTCGCTTTTTAAACTGTAAAAGATTTGAATAAAATTAATTTACTGATCAGTCATCTAGGTAAATTACAAATTAAAGAAATCAATTACTCTAGAGATTAAAGAACAAATTTTGTAATTTAAAGTTTATGGTGCTAACCTCTACACTTAAGACGAAACTTTAAAGTTTAGAAAAAAAGGACGAATGCCACTATAAAAATCCAATTGTCAATAGCAATGGCAACATCTCTCGTTCAAATTATCGTTGTAAAAAGACATTTGAAATTGTTTGTACTGTAAAGGAAATAATAGATGCGTCATGCGCCGCATAAATGTTTATTGAAATTGTAAATTATGACATCTAAGTTGTAAACTAAATAAGGGCATTGTTCATTTACATGCCGATAAACTATTTCAACAGTTTGCCCAAAGTTAATTTGTAATTCAAATGTTATATAGAAAAGGAGAAAAAGAAGGATAATAGGTAAGAATACAATTAGTTTTCGCAATAAATACTTCAAAAATTTATTAATTTCAAAACTGATGAAGACCCGACTGGCGCAGGGGATAGTGAACCTGTCCTATGCACCTGAGGCTGTGGGTTCGATCCCTACTATTCGATACTACAACACTGCGTGATTCAGCGACACTACAACATTGAAATTTAAAAAGCAGAATTACTCATTTAAATCAAAATAATACAATTACTGAAAAAAGTCAAGTTGCAAACTTATTATTTTCATAGTGTCACGTTTCACTCGTCACTTCTTAAAAAAGTACATTGTAAGATCTGCTTGGATAAAAGCCACAATTTTATAATAGTATAAGTAAGCATCAAGAAAACGAAAAACTAAGGTACATTTTTTTTTATTTTAAGTAAAAATATGTTAAACGTAAAAACCAAATATTAAGCATTAAAATATTTTAATAGGCGCTTTCCATTTTTGTACTTGGCAGCAACTGTAATAAATTGTATCTTCATTACAAATACGAAAGCTTGTGTGTATTTTGTTGCCTATAACACCTTAAACATGTCCTTAATTCGTTAGATTTCCCTTTTATAGGGAACCATCAAACATTCAAAAAAATAGGGCAATTTTCTTAACCCCTTCTGCGAGATCTGGGTGTCGAAATTTCTAGATTGGATGGATGAAATTCGGCCATTTTCTCAACACATTCCGCGGGATCAGGTTCAGACGACCGAGTTGTTGAACCAGTGATTGATTTCGGTGGGTAGCGCTTTGAAGGTCTTCACAGCCTCCCTCAGATCCTCGTCGGGAACAGCCAGGGTGTATAGTTTGTATTCCTTCTGTACTCTGCTGGTGGTGGTATCGCCGCCGGTATATATCGAATCAGTAGACCGGACGGGCATTATCACTTCCAGCTCCTGCAAATGCTCGAAAGCCTTCAAGATCACTGGACGCGGAACAGTCTGCGTCGACGAGTTGGCGTTTGCGAACTTCGTGTATCTGCAAAAGAATAGGTCTATAGTATGAATGTCGATTGTTTTGTTGTTTTGTTCTTTGCAACTTTTAAAAAGAAGTAAAGTAACAGTCTATATATGTCTCACAGCTGGGCAGAGGCCTCGTCTGTACAAAGTAGAGATACGAGTCCGTATTAGGGCATAGCCCAAGCCGCGACCCCACAGCGGATTGGCGGACTTCACATATTATCTTCGAGATATTTTTGTATTTGCCATTATTTCGAAAATATGCAAGATTCGATATTTCCGTGCACCGCATAGCATGTGATAATTCAGCAATTAAAATTGCAATTAATAATATCGTTGGTGCCGGCCACGAGATGAACTAAGGTTACTAGCGTACTTTAATTTAATATCAAGCGCCTGGACCCCGAGCAGTCGCGGCTCAACAGTTATGCATTCATAAAATTCCTGCATATGCTTCTACACAATACAAATACGAACGTCAATTAAGGTAAAGCTATACCCACCTATGCAAGACCATTTCGAAATTCATCGGCTGCCCGTCGAATATCTCCATCCCGTGTTTCATCGCTATGACCAGAGATAATTCGAGGATGGAAAGTGACTGAAGCAACTTCACTCGGTGCTCTGGCGCCACTGTGCCGTCCACGATCGAAACCAAATCTGAGGCGTCCACGTACGGCTTCTTTGCGCTAAGTCTCGAGACCAGTTGAAACTGAAAATCACTCGACGTATTCAAAATTATGTCATTTAATCTTATATTCAACTGTAGTAGGGGAAACCACTTTTTTGGAAGGCAACGTATTTGCAACCCTAGGTGAAACGCCAACTCGCTTATCACCTTATTATATAAAAAAAATATTTTTGCAACACGACAACTTAAAGTTTAGCCATTGCGCCATTCGTGTAAGTATTTGTTAGTTAGATTTATCGTAATATCTTACCAATATATTTCTAAGTATCTGCTCATTGACGGTGTAATAACATAGTTTCTCTAACGCGTCTATCACGCGCTGATCCTGGGCTAGGCTTTTAATGTGAGCGTTCCAGTCTTCCAGAAAACTGGCATCCATCTCCTCCTGGAACTGTCTTACGTTGGTCTTGCATTTAGCTAAAACCTCTTCCGGCACTGAGTATTGTACTGAATCATCGTTCCCGTCAATGTCCATTCCTTCAGCATTTACTGTAAACAAAGGACAACCATGTGTTTTATTGATTTATTAGGTCCTTCGTCGGGGCGAGTGAGATTAGTTCGCGGATGACGCACCCTGATGAAGGACCTCCGATGAGTCCGAAACTAGTCGGTACTTACACCGGGTTTACGTGAGTTCAGCCATCTTATTATTACGTTAATAATGTCTCACGGGAGATGTCACCTTTGCTCTTCAAATTTAAGCATTATTCTGTACCTGTGGATTTCCTCCTTGCGCCCTTGCGACTCCGCGGCGTGCTTTTAGCGATGGCAGTTTTGCTCGCGAGGGCCAACGGCACACTGAGCAGCCGAACCAATCGCCTCCGAACAATCGCCAAGGGTGATGCAGCCACTTCGTTAACATCGGAGCCCTCGTACGGGAATATGAAGATGTGTCTGTGCGAGAAACGCGACTTGACTCGCTTCTCTAGCATCTCCATTACGTCTAAGCGATTGGTGATACCTGCGTGAGATGAACAGAGAAGATCTTGATATTTTTTATGGAAAAGCAAGCTGGGGGTTCCCCTGAGTTAAGTGATAGCCTTGCAGATGCGTTGCCAGCTTTTTATGAAGTGAGCCCCGATTACCCCAATCACCAGAGGAAACGCAGAAGTGTAACACTTCCACTCCACGCCGGTCTTGTGAGATCGTGGTACTTCCCGTGCGCGTGTCCCTACCACAATAAAAATATGGCGCTAACACGCATAAACAAAACCCATCTTGCCTTATGGAAATGGTGAAACCAACAACGAGTACACGAGGTACAACCGCTTTCTAGAGCGGTGAGAACCGTCCTCAGCCGCCGATTTATAGTCAACGGTTGTCTATGGCCCGCAGGTGATATTCGCCCCGATAGATAACGCGTATGAGCAAATTTTTTCGCCGCTGCCACAATACCAACCAACGTCTTCCGGATACCGTGTTCAGACGCTTTTTAACTCTACTTAAGTAGTTTAATGTCGCGGATAAAATAGTTTACAATCAAATTATTATGAACAAAAAGATTGTGAGAGACAAAAACAGCATTGCCGAATGCCAATACAATTTTCATGTAACAATGACAAAGGCGATCAGCACATAGCTTTAACAAAGATTTTATGACCTAAAACATTATTTAAACAAATTCCAAATCAGCAAAGCGACCAAACATACCTAAAACACACATGGGAGCCTGTTTACTGTGAGTAATGTCAAACAAGTTGTACAGTAACGTCTGCGTCCTACCGCTGTGACAAAACAGATCAAACTCCTCCAATATAAACACCATACTCTTGCAACGGCGGTCGGCGCCACTTTGTAAGCAGCTCAGTAAGAAGCTGAGATTTTCTGCAAAGGTTCCGAAGACGCGGTCACCAACTGCGTTTTCCAGTTGCATCTGAAATTTTCAAACAATAAGTTCTATGCGAAGCTAAAATGCTAGATAAAATAAAAGAAGGTCTACTACTATTATATATTTTTTATCATTATTACATATTTACACTTACAAATAATAGGAACATTCACCATTTATGGGCTCAAAGGAAATGTTATATCTACTTCCTCATACTTACTCCCCTAATACCGTGATTGTTCTTTTTAATGTGACAAAGTGGCAAACGCGCTGGCGGTTCTCCTGATGTTAACATGATAACCGCCGCCAATGGACATATGCAACACCCGTAAGGTTGCAGATGCGTCGCTACCTTTGAACAAAGTGAACACCGGCTACCTTGTTCACCAGATGAAATACAGAGATGTAACAAACACTTAACACTTCTACTTTACGCCGGTTTTCTGTAAGGTTGCGGTACTTACAAAACGGACCTGCCCGTTCAAGCTACAGAATACTGTTGCGTAGCCCTACCACATTATTTTAATTATGGTAAAACAAACTTAGTGTTGTCAGAGTGTCATGAACAATGGTTGCTTGTAAACTTATCCTAAGATATGCTTAGTCTTCAGTGCATCAGTCTTTATGCCTGCTCATATTCTTATCTGCTCATTTTTTTTAATGTTAAAAAGTGTCAAGCAAAATTTTTATCTGCCAAGCAGTTCACCTGTATGTATCTTGTATCTTGTATTAACTGATGTTTGTGCTTTCAGTCCCGAGACTATTAAAGCTTCATCTGACGCAGAACCGGTGGGCTAGCCAGAACCCACGGGTTTGGGCCCTCCGCTGTGGGTAGGGCCACGCATGTGCTCATGCGTGCGTTTAAGTATGGTGTGTCATCTAAGGGCCATCGAAGTCGCGGTTCGGACCGAAACCCCGATGGCCGTCAACTGTGCATTTAGCTAATCGATGGCTGGGGGCGGTGAGAACCGCCCCGGAACGCGGGTGTACCTTGTGTACGCGTTGTGTTGGTCTCGCCGTGCTCGGAGGCGAGGGCGAACTAGTATGTTTGTTGTTGCACTAACTGTGGGTGTAGTGTTATCCGGCGGGACCCCCAGCGGTGGGTCCGGCGTATCTAAGTCGCCTTCCTGGACCGGGTCGATGAGGACGTTTCGCAGGCGACGCTTGTTGACGTTCGCGTTTGTGTCGGGTTGGCAATTTTCTGAACACCTGTATGTTTTACAGGTATTCACTTGACATCAAGTGAATACCTGTAATACATACAGTACCTGCACCAGAACATTACGCTCCACTTTTAGGATGATATAATTGTACTTTTAATTGCCATTGTTACTGTCACAAAACTCATTCTTAATTCAGTATAGGTACCAAAATAAACAGAGTACAAATTCAGTGCCAGCACCAATCACATTAGTAAATACAATTTTAAGTACTCATTTTACTATGATACTGATGATACAAGCTCAACAGTGAATAAAAGCAAAAATTATGAGGAAACAATATCATAAGAAAACATATTTCAATGATATGCAAATGTCACCAATGTATACAGCTGTATCAGAAAAAAAGTAAAGTAACCGCATATAAATGTCCCACTGCTAGGCGAAAGCCTCCTCTGCACAGAGGTTATTAGTAACTGTCCACCATGCAACCCCACTGCAGATTGGCAGACTTCACATATTTTCAAAACACTTATCAGAAAAACTAAACTATAAAACAAAACATAATATTAAACAATCCTTCCCTTAATAAAAAAAAATCATAAAGTCAGAAATGTTTAAGCTGTAATACCTGAGCTGTGATAGATTTTAAAGCAACCTTGTCATCTTGATGAAGCAGGCCATTTAATCTGACTATAAGTGAGTCATTTGCTAAGTCTAATTCATTAGCTAACTGGTGCAGAACAGAGTTTAAGAGCTGAAAACAACACTTATTTATTTGTACAGTTGTGATTAAGGCTTTTTTTTTAAATAACCAATACAAAGTATTTTCTAATTGTTAAGGAATTAAAAAAACACCATTTGCAGTTAAGATACAAACTGAGATGTGTATGTATAGTAAACACTTCATTTTTTTTAACTTGTAGAATATATACATATATATATATATATATATATATTAATTGTTTCCAGAAACTTTTTCAACACACAGTTGATTTACCACATCCTCTTGGCCCTATTATTAGAGCAGAATGCGATTCACCATTGCATATGATTCGCCTAATTAAATCATAAATATGATTTCTCTCTACTACGTGTTCTTGAAACTGAACATTATCTTCCAATATTTTAATCTTTAAATACTTTCTTATAAATTTGATTTGTGCAGAGGTCCCGGTTTTATAATTAATTTCACACATTTTGAGGTAGACACTAAATAAAAATTGACCTTTCGCGCGCTTTTCTTTTCTTTCCATTCATCATAACATGTAGCAATGTCAAACTCAAATTGTTTTTTAACAAATACAAAGACTGACAAAGTACAATAGACAAAGTGTTTTTTTAAAGAAAAATGGTCGTCGCCCTAATTTTTCGGCCGATGTCATCTATCTTTTCAAATTTTACGATTTTAAATAAATGTTTACAATTAAACCAAAATTTATGTATAAATAATTTACTCCGCTTTAATAAAAAATTAAAAACTACTGAATACGTTTTGATGGATAGACTTTTAAAATAGAAACTTCTTGTAAAAATTATATGTAATAACGACATCAATCTTAATGATTCTACTTAAATTACTAAAATAGAAAAGAGTTTATCATAAATTAAAACAAATATCCCATAAATAACTTCCAGAACTTTTGAGACAAAAATTATTTCCTATCTTAGAAGTCATTGAAGAATAACGTCTTCTTCACGTATCTACGATACGGATGTTGTTTTTTTACTTACTTTAAATTTTGCAAAAACGTTTCCCAACCAAAAGAAACATTTAAATTGCAGTACGCATGTATCAATCGTGGACCTGCGCACTTGGTAAACTAAAGAAATCAATATTGTTAACCGTATACATGAGAATTATCTTAAGAATATCTTATCTCTAGATAGAAATAATAGAATTATACTTTTTATTACATTTTTTCATATTATAAATGATAAAGCAAAATTTATGATAAAAGAACTGGTATCGTTATTTACCGGTTTACCGCTATCGTAATTTTTAAATTATCAATGAATAATGAAAAAATTATTTACAATGAAGTATCGCATTTAAAATTCCGCTACAATCATTTATTCCAAATTCATAAATAACTTATATCTATTACTTATTTAAAAATCTATACACAATTATCTCATTTATATTGTCTAGGCGCATTGCCTTGATCTTATGTTATCCTCTCTTTTTTTTATGCGGTACTTTATGCTATCTATCCCTCTCTTGACCTTAAACCTTGTTAATTTAACTCAAACGAGATTTTATTTACGCAGGATCAGATTTTTACCGGAATAATCTATTGATATGTTTAGTTGTTATTATATTTATATAGTTTAGTACAAATTTTTTACTATAATTATGTAAATAAGTAACAAAATTATTACTATTTTAAGTATAAAACATTTTTTAACGACTAGAAAAGTAATATTGAATTAATTGTATTTATATGATTTGTCGTAATTAATTCGTTCATAAATAAAAAGTGTTTTAACTATCGAAACTTGTGTGTTAAATATAGCATATACTATGAAGTGAAAGTGGTTTCAGTGTTCAAAATGTTTTGTATACTGTTGGACAGGTTCTAAATAATTCAAATAAATTATTGCATAATTTTGCACATAACACAAGTGACAAACTATCACAATGTAATTTGTAAAATATTATATTATTATTTAAAGGCACCTCTTCGTATGGCTTTCGGTGTTAAATACATTTGACCACAAATTAATCGCTTAAAAGCTTAAACGTGTTCTAAGTAATTAAATGCTTTAATTCTTGCATAAATGGTGTATATGTGCTATCTTGTTTAATCAAAAACCGAAATTAAATTAAAACCAATTCGCCTAAGGTGCAGGTTTCATAACTTGTACTTAACAAAATAATTTACTAAAATCTTAAAAATGAAAGTAGAAAATATAAATATCCTTAGCTATAAATATCAATGATTTCCATTTTTGTAAGTTCAGTAATATAATAATATTCCTAAAAATTTGACATGATATCATAATTTTTTGTTAATACAAAATTGTTGTTTTCTTGAGATTTAATTAATTGCACTTGCCAATATTTTTAAACATTTTTATAGTCTGTGTATGCCTCTGTTATTCGCTTTGTGTCGACTTTCGCCCACTGTGTTATTTTTAAATGCGTTTGTTTTGTATTTATTACTGGTTACTACTGAAATTATTTTATTTGCAGTGTGCGTGATGTTAATTGCATTTTTTGCCTTATGTGAAAAGCGTTTCGAACTTGTAAATTGAAACGTAAGTATGCTGCCATTTCTAACATATTTACCGTATAATTATTCATATAGTATAAAAGTGTAATACAATTAGATTTCTCTTAAAAATTTTCTATTACTATTTAAGTTTTGCCTTGATGGAATCGTAATCCCTTGATAAAGTTTATTTCTCTTATGGTTTTTTTTATAACCAACGCCTTATCTAAACTCAACACTTCAGGGTATAATGTAAACTGTTCGCGACATTTTACCCATGTTATGTTGGATTCGCTAATTAATTAATCATTATAATTTATCATTTGGGTCTCATAAAATTCCATTACATTTTATATATTTCTAAAAACTGTTTGAATATTTTATTTGGGTAAAATTTTAGCTGCATATTTATTAAATTATTCTCTGTCATGAACTAAATCAGCTTATAATACAATGTGGCTTAATTTAAATCAAGCCATCAAAGTGCATGATGCAATTAATTTTAAATACAAGGTTATTTATATGCGACTGAAACCTGAAACAGCCAAGAGACTGGTTCAAATTTGTTACCATGTTTTGACCAATGGACAATATTATTTTATGAAATGGTAAGAAAAAATCCTTTGTTTAATGTGCCAAGTTGATAACAGTTACATTTGGGCTCAAGGGTCACTAGTGAATGTCAAGTCTGACAAGATTAGCTATCTATTATTATTCTATCATTGTATATTAGAAAGACGAGAAGTGATGTCTTATTGTTTTATGGATGTAAAATTGATCTTTACTTCTTTGTGTGTTATGTGCATAACACAATGGATGTATATGTGTTAAATATTTATTAATACAAGATTTTTGGGCAAATATTTTCTGAGGGTATAACAAATTTTTAACAATATATCTTAGATTAAACTATATGCATATTTTATACATTGTTACTAATTTCGACAACAAATTTAAGACATTTGAGAGTGGGTCAACATGTTTGTGAAATGAAGAGTAAAGAATAAAAAATAAAACTCAAAATTATTTTTCTTTCTCACCATTAAATGTTGATCATTCTCACAGATCTTTCAATGAAATTATTTATACATTAATAAAAATGTTCTGTTGTCAAAATAAAATGAAATTGCAATCTTTATATTTTCATTGCTGAAAAATTCCTTCCCATAAAGTTGTATTTTCATTTAAGGGAATAAGAAGAATAGCTTGTGGCTATGTCTGGAATATAGGGAGGATGCTCTAAGATTTTGAAACATGCTCTTTTTAAAACCATCTGCAACTTGTGCCTTGTGCAAAGTTGCATTATCATGAATAAGGAACCACCCCTTTGGTCAATTTGCATCCTTATAGCATTGTCTTGCGGACACTACAGTAATGCAGTGTACTACTTATAATTATAGTACTTTTCTTTTTAGACAATAAGACGGATCCCCTCTGGTTTACAGAAAACAGTGGCCCTGAAATTCTGGGGATGGTGTATACACAGCACAGCATGTATATATATCATAGCATGTAGTCCTGCTTCTAGTTAGGCTCAATGATCAAAGCATTCATCAGCAATCTACTTCAAAACCTTATCCTTGTTTTCACCACAATAAACTCTTGACAACACTCAACTTGCTGCTATTTCTGGTATAGTGGATGCGCCAAGCATTACTTTAAATGCTAAAAAACAATGTAGACAAAAATGTTTTCATACTTTTTAATGGTATGAGTAACAGTTGATGATTGTGTATGAATTATAAAATGGTTGTAGCTGTCACACCAATCAATTTATGCATGCTATTACTTTAAATATCTAGTATGATTTTTTAAGCTTTTCGAAACTTTTCTGTTGGGATAGCCTCCACAAGCCGCCCAGGCGTCTAATCATCTTCAATCAAATCCCTGCATTGCTTGAAGAGGTTTTGCCAACTTATAAATATGGTCTGAGAGTCCCCTAATAGTTTGAAATAATAGTCTGTAGATGGTTTTCTTGAATAAGAAACTTGATTACTAGAATGAAACTAAATTTTTCCATGTTGTAATTTTTTTTATGAATTGGACTGTATATGACTGAATGAATAATAATTGCTCTGATTTAAAAGTAATTGAGCATTTAATTAAATATAATATAAATAACTAACGATATTTGAAAATATCTTTTTTTTTTTTCAGATGTTACTTATATTTGAAATAAATGTGAAGCGTTTTGCGCAACCGCCTGTTTATTGTGATCCATGCAATGGCGGAGGAGCAAGCGTGCCTTGTGCGCGCACGTTCCGACTCTGAAAGTTCTTCCAAACCTGGCAGTTTTGGATCCATATCACGCACTATGACTTACACAGAAGAAAGACTTACTGGTATTGTTTTGCAATGTTTTATGCAAAAATTTCAATCAATTTAATAAAAAAAATTAGAGATATCTTTGATTTATTTAATGTCAAAAGTTGGGAAGCAGGCAGGTGTATCACCTAATGTTAAGTGAATACTGCTGCAATGGATATTTTCAACAGTTGGGTTGTTGCAGATGTATTTGTTATGTTTATAACACTGGGACCCAGTTATGAAATTCATCCGACAACAAACACTAAAGTAATATATGTATTTTAGCAGACATTAAAAGTAGACATTACTTCATCCATAAAATAACATATGTTAGGTAAAATATGTTATTTTTTTGGACAAAGTTGCTCATTTAGCAAAACTGTTGTGTGGCTACCAGTTTTAAATTATTCCCTTCAAACTTCCCTGTTGTTGAGGGTTGAAACAGAGAAGGTCGACACAGGGAAGATTGAAATAAATATTGTAGTACCTACCTTTATGTTGATTTGTAAGTTCTAGGGGGAACTGCTGTGACTTGACACACCATATGTAGGTGTTGAAGTTGATAAAAATTGTACAATTAAAAAATTAATCATGGTACACAGAATAAATTAATCATGCAAATAATTATTTTTTAGGCACTGAAGGTGCAGGGGAGCCTGGTAATGTAGCTACTACCACATCCAGCCCTCCAGAGCAAGCCACAGATGCAAATGATAGTGGAGAGCTACTGGACTATAATGACTCCAGTGTATTGGAGCAGTTTCATGAAGATGCCTTGCGCCAGGTTTGCACACAAATAAATTTTAATATACAAATTGAAAAGCTTTTTCCATATAGGTTATGAATGTAATGAAGTGCTGGGAATTCATCATTGTTGTAGGGCCACCCAACAGCTTTAGCTGATGCAAGAATGGGCAGGCTCATCCAGGGAAATACCACGGCAGTTCACAAAAGAACAGCATGAAGTGGAAGTATTATGCTTTCGTATTTCATATGATGAGTGAGTTAACCATGGCCCATGTTTTTTAAAGGTTGTCAATGCATCAACAAATCACTTTTTTCCCTTTGACATTTAATATTCATAATATTCCATCACAAATGGTTGTTACTTTTCCATGTAATAAGTAAGTACCCGGAGGACCGAGCTTTGCTCGGTTTTTTTTTTTTTTTTTTTTTAAATCGTGTATTTTGGAAATTACATTTAGATACAAATTACTGATTAATGAAATACGCATATAATGTTTCGATCTTACCGACGTAATAATAAGAAAATATGAACTGATATTTTTCACAAAAGAAAGAACTTTAAAAAAAAAGGGAAAAAAATAACAAAATAACAAATCGACAAAAAATTAAAAATAAAGAAAGCAATGATCTGGAATCGAAAAAAAAGTAAAAAAATAAATGTGTAAATGATCCTGATGCGAACCACGGCCGTCTGTTTTGGGGCCGCCCGATTACCGACCGAACTATTATGAAATTTTCTCTTGCGGCGAAATTTACCGTCATATTCGAAACATATTTTTCATTCCCTGAAAACAGGGATAAAAAGACATTTTCAAAAATGAAACCTAGCTAGATCGATTTTTCGCCCCCGAATCTACGTACATACTAAATTTCATGAAAATCGCTGGAACCGTTTCCGAGATTCCGATTATATATATACATATATACAACAATTGCTCGTTTAAAGGATAAGATTTAATTAACCATATTAAGTTTTACAGACTACAAATAAATGCAGTAATTAATTCATGGGTTTTAACTTTAACTTTCTTCATTATTATTTTTATATCTTAGGCAAACACATTATTAAATATAACTATTTTTGCCGAATTATCGGGCTGTGTAAGTTTAACGTTGGTTAACAATGACATTCGGAAGTCTAACGTATCAGTGTGTTCCTACCATGAATGCGGCAAAATACTCAAAATGTCGGGAGTTAAAATTATAAATAAAGTACTCAAACGGATTCATTTCCGATTTTTTTTATTAAATCTCTGTGTAACATACTAATTGCACGATAGTGTACCTTAGTTGTAGTTTGAACCCTCAAACGTAACGAAAAATTGTGTGCTCCACAATTATAATCAAACTGTGTCCGTATTATGCTTCTGAAACCTGTTGTTACCTAGTTTGAAGACACTTAAAAGAAAAAAAGTCCATTTGATTTCTCAATCTTTTTTATCCAGGCTGGCTGTGGAATGTCACAGGCACGTGTTTTGCTGGCTGTGACCCTTGCCATAGCTGGAGCGTCTCTCGAGTTGGCGGCAATACCTTTTGTGCTTCCATCTGCAGAGATAGAGCTCTGCATTTTACCGCATGAGAAGAATTGGTTAGGTAACACAACATTTTTTATTGGAAATTTCTTTCTTCACATTTCCACCTGTCATTATTTTATATATTCCATTAGTCTATGAATTCATTTCCCCTTGCGCACACTTCACACCCTCTTGTATCATAATTAAACTTGAGCACTTTTTACTAGTAAGCTCCATACAATCAAATATATTGTTACATAATCTATATAGCAGCATGGCCATAGTAATCGTGCGTCTGGACTTATATTTTTCTAATATTTTATTTTAATTATATAATGTAACATATAAAGCTTTTTAATTTTTAATTATTATAAATACTCAAAAAATGACATTTTCCATATCATCCGGAATTCATCCACCAGACCTTAGAACACCACACCAAACATCGAAAACTTGTCTAAGATATTTTAGATAATTGGCCTACTAGATTTGCAGGTTACATAATTTGTGTACTATTAATTTCTAGTGCTGATAAGTCTAGTGGGTGGTTCACTGGGTGCTGTGGGTTGGGGCGCGTTAGGAGAGCGCCTGGGCCGCCGCAGAACTCTGCTCTCTTGCCTCGCCGTGAATGCAGTATTCGCAGCTATTGCCGCATTTATGCCCACATACGGCACGTTTATGATGGCCAGGTAATCATCGTAACTAAAAGTTTTTTTTTTGACGTGAGACGGTGGCAAGCCAGCTGGCGGTACCCCTGATGTTAAGTAATATCCGCTGGCCATGAACATATGCAACACCCGTAGGGTTGCCACCTTTTAACAAAGTGGGCTCCGGCTACCTCACTCACCAGATGAAACTCAAAAGTATAACACTTCCACTTCTCGCCAATCTTCTGTGACGTTGTAATACTTGCCCCGGATGGACCTGCCCATTCTTGCAACAGCAAACTGTTGCGTGGGCCTGCTACAGTTAATATCTGTATATCTCGCATAGCTATTTGAAAATCTTATGCATTTTAACAATAATATCCAACAGTTCCTAATAATACGAATTATAGAATGAGTAGTGGTGGCATACTAAATGTTTAACTTGCCTTGTAAAACAAGTCAAGACTACCAAAGAAAATATAATCCCTGCTTTATAAATGTACAACAAAGAAAAATGGGTAAGAAATGAAATTTAAATGATAGGACTGGGATAATCTTAAGAAAATAACCTTAGTAATTGAAAATCATAGTATCTCTATTCTCTATCCACACAAAATTCAGAGGCCATTCTAGAAGTTTAAAGGTCACGGGCAAAGCCAGATTAATGTTTTTTTTTTAATGTGAAAAACTGCCAAGTGACCAGACGGTTCACCTGATGTTAAGTGAATACCGCCTCCCATTGACATCTACACACCCGGGGTTGCAGATGCGTTGACAACCTGTTGAAAATAGGGGCTCCGGCTACCTCACTCACAGACGAGACGCGAAAGTATTAAACTTCCACTTTACGCCGTTCTTCTGTGAGGTCGTGGTACTTACCCAGACGAGCCTGCCCATTTGTGCAACAGTCGAGACTGCTGCGTGGCCCTACCACCGTGGTAACGTACAATAAAAGTGTGCATACAATAATAGTAAAATTTAAAACTATGATTATGTTACATAGAACTTTAAATGGTTTCACTGATCACTCACAATGAATGAATGAATACTTTTATTGTCCACCACAAATGAAAGGTGTGGTGGACAAAAAAGATGTACTCAAATAGTAACTTATTTATGAACTTATGTATTAACTGTTCATGTGTACACGTTTCATAAGAATGTGCAAGTGTCTATTTGAATAAAGATATTTTGTATTTTGATGTTTTTTTTAATTTTGAAAGGATACTGTAGTGTAGTGCATATGAGAAATAATATACATACATAAATAGACATAATTTAATTAGTGTAGTGTATATCCAGAAATAGTATACACAAAGGCTTTTCTAAGTTTATCAATTTTTTTTTATTAATTCTAGACATAAATATTGTTATAATATAAAAAATGACAAATATTTAAAATCACTTATCTAAATTGAATCAAAATTGAACTTGTCTCCAAAAAAAATGCGTGATTTATGGGCCACTCATTTATTTTACGCGCGATCATTCATAACTAACACGCACAAAAGTTCGTTCGTTTAAATGTATACGACGCATTTATGAATGACTACCGCATTGTCAACAAGTTCTGTTTTTTAAGGAATGGAATGGCAAAAAAAAAACTTCTTATTTCAATAAACGATTATTGATACTACCGAGTCTGAACCTCCCGTGTGAATTTGGGCACCTTAATAAAAGCCCCCCGTATATGCATAAATATATATAAACTAATTATAAATAAATAAGTATATATTTTGACTGTCGTCTCCGGCTGCGTACCCTAGTCGTCACCAGTTCAGCTCCGACCACAATGGTGTGACGTCAGCGTGCCGAAAATTGTGACAAATTAGTCGAAATATTATTGATCGATTATTAGTACAGTATTAAGAGCCGGGATAGCTCAATGTCCGGGCGCTCGCCTTTAATTCTATATACTCGAGCAACCTGAGTTCGATCCCCGGTGCCGGCACCAATGAAGTTTTTCACGTGCTCCGCGGTGAAGGAAAACATCGTGAGGAAACCTGCAAATTTTCGAAATAGTAATAAAAAAAATATATTTCGAAGATATGTGAAGTCCGCCAATCCGCAGTGAGGCCTCGTGGTGGACTATGCCCTGATACCCTCTGTATAGAGGAGGCCTTTGCCCATCAGTGGGGGGACATGTATAGGCTATACACAAATCGATACACACAAGTCGGGCTGTAGGTTCTGCTCGGCGATCGGGTCCGGCGGCATCGCGGCCGTGGGCTACACGTACTGCGGCGAGTGGTGCGTGCGCGGGCGGCGGCGGCGCGCGCTGGCGGTGCTGGCGGTGGGCGCGGGCGGCGGCGCGCTGCTCGCCTCCGCGCTGGCGCACGCCACGCTGCCCGACACCGGCGCCGGCGCGCTCCGCGAGAACAGGGAGCACTTCAGCGCCTGGCACCGGTGCGCCCCCCGCCCAACCCTGGTGACCGTGGCGCTGTGCCGTTTTGTTGCGTTGCGACGCTCGGCCACGGTGACCCTGAAGCTGTGTCGATGTGTAGTGCTGTTTATTCATATTCTGATTCTTTATTGTACACAATAAAAATTACAGTTACCAATAAAGGATTACAAAAAAGACTGCACGAAGGCGAGATTAACCCTAAACAGAGTTCTCTGCCAGCAAACCTTTAGCCTCGTTTCGCTTTAGCGCTCTACGATGCTCAACCCTGGTGACCTTGACGCTGTGTCGTTATAGTATAGTGCTATTAAGCCTCGTTTCGCTTTAGCGCTCTGCGATGCTCAACCCTAGACGCTGTGACGTTATGATGCGTTGCGGCGCCCGGAGACGGTGACCTTGAAGCCTTTAGGTTGTGTTGCTATGCCTGATCGTGCTGATGCTGGCCCCATTTCGCTTTAGTGCGCTGCAACACTCGAACCTGGTGAGGAAACCTCGACGCTGCCGATGCGCCATTGCGTCAATATGTTGTGCTGTGACGCTCGACCACGATGACCTTGAAGCGGTGTTGTTAGTTTGCGTTGCTATGCTCGATCATGGTGTTGTTGGCCCCGCTGTAGTGCGCTGATACGCCCGAACCTGATGACCTTGAAGCCGTGTCGTTAGGTTCCGTTGCTACTCCCGATCTTGGTAATGTTGGCCCTGTTCGACTGCAACGATCGATCCTAACGGTGACTTTATCCCATTGCACTTTTCGGCGATAAACCGCCAGCCTCAACAAATTGCAGCAATGAGGACATAGGTAATTTAATTTTAGCCGTTGCAATGAATCCCTATATTGCCGTTCGACTCCCGGCCCGGCTGAATCTTGGTCTTAGCTCAGTTTCTTTCAACCTTTATAATAACGATATTCATTTTTTTTAAGTCTGGGCAGAAGACTTGGTACACTTTGGTTTTTTTAATCTTAGTAAAAATGACTTCATACAAATCAAACAATAATCTTGCATTTTCAGATACCTTCTCCTGTGCACCTTACCAATTCTCGCTTCTTTAGTAAGCCTGATTTGGACACAAGAGTCACCTCGCTATCTACTAGACGTGGGACGAGAGGTGGACGCTATGATGGTCTACCAGGTAATTTTTTCATTATTTTTATAAAATAGTGTTAACATATTTAAATTATTTTATATAAATCATCATTTTTTTTAAATCATCAACATTAAGGCAACTTCTCATGAACGTCAAACGTACCTCCGTTACATCTGAGCCGAAAACTCTGCATTCTTGTTTTTGTTTTGTCCAATATTTTTATTAAAAAAATGTTTCTAGTATATAATAGTAAGTATAATAGTCACCACTGTACCGTAGTTTTTCATATTCCTTTCCAGAACATTCACAGCAGCAACCAGTTCCGTTTATGCGGCAAGGGCAACGTCACCGCGGCCGGTGGCGACTCAGAGTATCGGCTTGGAGAGTTGTCCCTACCCGGAAAACGTCGTCCACCAGCTCTCCATCATGTGAGGCACAGTGTTAAAATGGTGAGGATACTTGACTTGGTGGCTCTGTATTAATAAAGATTACAGTTAAAAATACAAACAAGTGCCACCAGGCAATTAAACTATCTGTTATCTATTAAGTTGTTTGATAAAAACAAACTATACCAATATCTATAAAATTAATATTTTAAGTTTTGTCTATCGGAACATCATCTTCGTAAATGATAAGTAGGATATTAGAATCTTGGATGACAACTCAAGTTCAAGACATGTTTCAAATTGAAACAATTGATGTCCATAAACACATTTTATTTTTAATGTAATATTGTTTGGTCTTGATATATGCATGCTAGATAAAAAAATCAAATTAAGGCAAGTTCATTTACATCTGTTGACATCTTTGATCTTAATGTCATTATTTTTACACTATTGAGTGAAGGGTTCTACTGAGTTGTGTTTTGATTCACTGGAAGATATGTAGGTCACTTTCGTAACTTTAGACATGTACACAATATATTCAGATATTAAATTATATTTCTTTATATTTATTACGTGTATAAATATAAGAAGACAGAATGGTTTGCATAAATAAAAATACATAAATAACTTGTTTTTCAGTTCTGGCAAGCATTCTTTCAACTATTCTCAAGCCCATATCGAAGTACAACAATATCCTTAGGTGGGGTTCTCCTTTTCAGTATGGCTATACAGGTAAGCTTTTATACTGAATAAGAGATTTGCCCTTATAGCTGGTCTATGTTTTATGCATCAGATCAATAAATATTATAATATTATATAAAAAGTTAACTGTAAACTAAGTAAATAATGTGTTTATTGCATCCTCTTTTGAGTAGATCACATCCTCTAATTTCATATGAATGTACTGGTAAATATCTTGATATTCAACTCGAAATTTTTAAAACGTTTGTACTGCATGGCAAGCACTCTTTGTTTATGAAAATAAAAACATTAAATGCAGTTGTTAGCGGTTTCATTAAATAAATTGGAATTTGGCGTTCAATGTCAAAAAGTTGTTATCCGTTGCCATAGTGACACCATTAAGTTTGTGTTGCTTTAAGTGTCGCACATGTTAAAAAAATCACTCTCATCAAACAACGCGCCAAAAGGAGTGTATTCAATAAGAAATATTGTTTTTAAGCATTACTTGCTATATTAATTTAAATGCATAAAACTTCGTTGAGTGTTCAATATTAATGTCGAAACATTGACGTTTCCAGTACTACCTGTCGTCGTACGTGCCGGCTACCGTGGCGCAGGCCGAGAGCGATCAGTTCGAGGCGTCGAAGCGGCTCGTGACCAACGAGTCGTTCACGGACGTCCACTACAACGAGACCCTCGAGAACGTGCAGTACATCGGCGTGGCCTTCAGGGACTGCACATTCCGCGACATGATCATGTCCTACGTGGAGTTCGACAACTGCACATTCACCAACGTGTCGTTCTCCAACATCATGTCTTCCTACACCGCCTTCCGGGACTCCGTCTTCGTGAACAGCACGTGAGTTTTGCCGGTGTTGTTCTTGATTGACTTCAATGAATGAGTTATATATTTTTCATCATTTATTTTTTGAGCACAAGTTGGACAATGCGCGATAGGTGATAACATTTTTAATGCATATGGACACTGAAAATATATTATTTTCAAACATTATTCAACACTGACGCGACTTGGGACCGATTTCAATAGTCGACCTACAAAAAGATTTGGTTATTGGAGATAGAGTTTTGACGTAAGTGTTATGGAGTTGATGTCAAATAGTGTCACGTGCGCGCAGCATCGTCGACATGGAGGTGGGCCGCGAGCTGGCCGACTGCGCGCCGAGCGGTAGCCCTATAAAAATCCACCTATACATAAGGGAAGGTCGCGTCCCCTGTCAAGCGTGCGAACGGTGTGTCGTTTGTGCGCGCAGCATCATCGACACGGACATGGAGGTGGGCCGCGAGCTGGCCGACTGCGCGCTGAGCGGCAGCGTGGTGCGCGGCATCCGCGGCGGGTGCGCGCGCCACGCCGACCTGCGCACGCACCTCGGCGGGCTGCGCGGCGAGCAGGGGCACGCGGGCCGCGCCGCGCTCGTCGCCGCCGCGCTCGCGCTGCTGCCGCACCCGTGCGCCCTGCGCCCCGCCGGTCAGGCGAGAATCAAAACCATTAACCGACTTCAAAAAATGAGGACGCTCTCAGTTCGATTTCGGTGGATGTTTGTTACACTTTCACGAAAATACTACTGAATGGATTTTAATGAAACTTTACCATAGCTTATACATCAGAATAAGACATAGGCTATAATTTATATACATATTTTATGTATATCTGTCTTAATGTTATGCCTTCAGCCTATTCTACGCAGACGTAGTCGCGGGCAGCATCTGGTTATAATATAAATCGTGACACTTTCGCTTAACTGTGTTGGGTTACGCCCACATGGCACTTCCACTTGTTTTGTCTATTCCTTGTGTAACCTTACATTATGTCCAAGTTTAGCGATTATCTTTATTTTTTGGAGTCGGTTGAAAAGGTATAGGTTATACACAACCCATCCCCGGATTGGTGGAATTCACGTATCTATGAATTTTTTCTAAAATTATAATTATTTATTATTAAGTATAATGAAAATATGCAGGTTTCCTCAACGATGTTCTCCTTTACCGCTTAACACGTGATAGCTCACTGTCCAGGGCCCTCGTGTACATTTGCAACACCAGTAGTGTTGCAGATGCGTTACCACCATTTAATAAAGTGGGCCCGGTTATCTCACTCGACTTCACTTCACGCCGACCCTCTGTTTGACCGTTGTCGATACAACTGGGTACAGTCTGGGTCAATACCCAGAGGGACCGACGAATTCGTGCAACAGTGGAGACTGTTGCTTGGTCCTGCCACCGTAAAAACCGCTTTATTGCACTTAACGCTGCGGGATTCGAACCTGCGTATTCGGGTTTTGCAAGGGATAAATGTGATACTTATGTTAGATTTCCTAACAGCAGTATCGCAGAGAGAACACAAAAGATTAAAAATTATGTTTGCTCTTTTGTAACTTCAGCGATCCCAAATCTAATGATATTATAATATATATAAGTATGTACGATGTGAACAAAAAAAATTGAATTTTCTTATGTTATATCTTTTAAAAGAGAAGGTACATAATGAAGTAATTATTCTAAAGGTGCAGTGCTATAATGCACATCAAATTCTTGCTTATAATTATGTATATGGTAAATAAATTTACAATGTCAACTTTTGTACACAAAATTTCTTGAATTTCACCTACAGGCATTAATAATATCTCTATAATTGCTTGAAGAATAACATTGTATTATAAATACTTTCAGTTTTCCTATGCGCAGCCTGTATACTACTGTCGCCGTCTCTCTACTTTACCCAAGACGAAGTAATGCTTTATATCATAGAAGCAACCTATAGATTACTGCTGACGCTTATATTTTACAATGTCGGACTTGACGTTGTAGATTCGTACCCTGCTAACTTGCGGTAAGTTATCAAATTGAGAATGTTTAAAAAAACCGTGTAGAATAATACATACAGTTATAGAATAAAATGTTTTTTATATTATCTATTGTCAACAGATGCACAGCGCATGGTCTTATACTATCTGTGGCTTATATGGGAGGAGCAATTGTCAAAGGTTCGGGGGAAGGTGGCCCAATTCTTAGCTGCGGTCTCTGTGGCTTATTCGCCATAGCCGCGACCGGTTTCTCATTGCATAAACGATAGGAACTTTACAAGAAGCTCGTGAGGCAAGTAATTTTTTACATCGGAATTTAATTAAATGGTAGAGGATGTTTCAAAATTTCGGCGTTTTTATATTTAGAGTGTGTAAAATTATTTATTAGTCGTATGTTATTCAAATTCCTTAATTGTAAACCTGGCTGAAATTAGAGTAATAGGTAGATAAATATAGTAGATATGTGGTATGTAAAAGGATGCAAATATTTGTATATATGTGTTTTTTGACGTCAAATCAAGTCATAGTAATTTGTATCATTCCAAATTGTTTGTTTTAATATCCAAATATTAAAAAGGAATTTAAAAAAATAATAATAAATGCAAAAAAAATCTGTCATGAAAATGAACATCAACAATTATATTGATTGATAAATTTAAAAATGAACATCATAGGTTTTTTTTAAACACAGATAATATTAAATGCAATTATTTCATTTTTTTTAAACTAAAAGCAAGTTATAAACTACATTAACTATAAGTTTTTTAATAATATTCTGGTATGTGAAGTACAAAATTATTTCATTTACTGCTCAAGTTTTTTGGGGATGTTACATGATACTAGCAAAAATAAGCAATAATTTGACATTTCAATAACTATCATGATAAGCGTCGTATTTAAAACTTATCTTGCCTTTAATAAATTTATTTTAATCATTTTATGAACACCTACATATCATCTTTTGTAGCTTGTTAATTATAGCTTGTGAAAGTTCAATATTTGAAAAGACTTGTCAGTAATGAATGTACCAAAGAGTTTCATTGACTGAAGAAAAAAAAACAAGATACTCAATAAAGTTTAGTGAATTCTTTAATTATAAAATATGCACTTTAATTATTGCATTTAATCTTGATTTTTACGTTTATGTCCAAAAGGGATACAATGTTTCTCCATGCAAATAATGTTCGCCTATTTTGCGATATAGCTTACTACAAATTACACTTTTATCCATGAACTTTGTTATTGCAGAAAAAGATGTAAAAAAACCATGCTCTGCTTAAATTCTTTAACTCTCAACGAATAACAATGAAAACAGCATAAAATAAATGTTTTCAAATAGGGAATTAATAAAAAAGAATATGCATCACAAATAAAAAGAAAACTATGCAACATAAAATGCATAAATAAGATTGCAGCATTAATTTATTTTCCCACGATTCACATTTTATGGCTGTTCGAAAACGGGGGAGTTATTTTATATGAAAACAAACGTAATTGAACTTCATAAAAAAATCTTTGTGCAATAGTAGTGTCCGATTTTAATCCAGTGTTCGATTTTATTTCATTATACTTGAGCAACCGGAGTTCTAAGCCGGTAATCGCAAAAATGAAGAAAAACATCACAAAGAAATTTGTATAAATGTAGCAAATAATAAAAAAATATTTCGAAGAAATGTTAAGGCTCTGCCTTTTCGCGCGGAGGTCGTATGACAAAGTATGCTCTAACAATACCTTCTCCCAGAAGAAGTACTTTATTTGTATTTTTTTTATTATTCGGTAAATAAATAATTAAACATAAAAAAATATTCGCCATGATTATAATATGATAAGCAAACAAAGAATGCATTCTATTCTCGCTTTTCCAAGGCAAATGAAATGATAAATATTGTCGTAATTTTTTTAATGGATTAGTGTTCCAGTTATATTAAAACATAGTAATACAGACATATGAGTATGTATTTCAAAAATTAATTCAAAGTGTAAAGTATTAACACAGTTCTACATTAAGACTAAAAAGATGTGTTAATATATCACAATGGTATTTATGAAAAGAAAACACCCTGAACAGACATTAATACTTTTATGACTAATTTTATTTTATAGTCTGCAATGCTTATAGATTATATTCCATCTATTTAAATCACCACCACTACGTAGTATAAAACGAAGTCGTCCCGCTGTCTGTCTGTCCCTATGTATGCTTAGATCTGTAAAACTACGCAACGGATCTTGATGCGGATTTTTTTACTAGATAGAGTGATTCAAGAGGAAGGTTTATATGTATAATACATTGCACCCGTGCGAAGCCGGGGCCAGTCGCTAGTTGTCTGATATATTATTGTGCAGTTTTGGAGATTAGAAGTTTACTAGAAAAAAATTAAGAAATTTACTAGAATGCTATATTTACAATCACAGCATTAAAGTTCATCCACATGTAATCTATTAAAAACATCTTTGTAGTCTAATTATTATTTTGGTCTTATAATTTTATAGTGTTGCCATTGAAAAAAATACTTTATCAATAATTTCCATATAAAGAGATGGATGACAATACTTTATAAAAAAGAAGCCTCTCCTGCGGCAAATGCAGACACAAGTTAAACTCCATTTAGTTATTTCGGTAGATGAAAAATATAGCCTGTGAATAACAAATATAATGATTTGTGTAACAATTACTTTGTAGGTTACTTTTAAAGTTACAGCCTATACCTAGACATGTATTTAAGTTAGTCCTTTACAATATGTGAACTTAGTATGTGGAGAATTAAACAAATATTCTTAATGAGTTTATATATTGTTAAAATTTTATGTCAATTGTGTTCATGTCTATGGATAACCTGTAAAATTGTTAAGGCTGAACATATCTTAGCAGAGACGAAGAAATTCATGGTTGTAATTATTCTTTTGTACAATAATACTGAATTAGTATGTTACTACTTAGTGTAGTTAGTAAAGGTGTATCTTTCCTTACCATTTAATTTTGTAGATGTATGCGAATTGTAATGGAAATAATTCTGAACAGGTAGCTAAATAAATTTAAGAATGGTGCCACATGTGTAAGGTCTGGAGGATAAGTTATTGATTTTATTTTCACTTCCAATATTATAGGTTATCATAATGTCATATCTTTCTTTAAGTTACTATATAGACTGCTTGTTTCAGTTCCATTGAATTATTAAAAGACATTTTTGTATTTATAATGTATAATTTAGTTATGCTTTTAAGTTCCATATAATTCATAACTAATGAGTAGACTTTTCTTCATTTTTTAATCGTTTTTTCTTTGTGATATATTCTATTAATAGGGTTACCAATCATACTTTATAATAACCTACTTTATTTTTGGCAAATATACTTTACACTTTTGCATAAAATACAGTAAGTATGTGAAAGCACTATTTCCGGACAGTTTTTCATTATTCTTAAATAGAATATTTAAGTATAATGAAAAACTGTCAGTACACGAAAATATGTCTTCAATGTATATCAGAATAAATTAATTAATAAAGAAAATTTTTAAAAATACTTTATTTTGGCCCTGCTTGAAAAATGGGATACTTTATTTTTCTCAAAAACAATTGGCAACCCTAGCTATAAATGTACCTATTTCCACTTAAGTAGCTATCATATATTTATTATTATAAATTAGTTTTATTTTTTTGCTTGTATATAAACAATTGTTTGCATTCCTGTTTAGGACTGATCATAAGTAAATCACAATATACTATTAGGCCATATATTCCTAGTCAATTTAATTTTTTTTATTGCATACAAAATGTATTTATAAATCGATGTCAACAACAATTAAATGCAATTAGAAAAGAGAAAAATAATTCAATATTTATGTAGAGAACAACTACACATATTTTCAAATAAGAGAAATATTAAGTGGGAAGATTGAAAAGGTAACTAATGTTATAAGAACACCGATTTATTTAATAAATTCTAATGAATCGGATCAGAATATTTTTGTACGTTATTTGAGGGTTTTAAATAGCATATTCAATAAAAATAAAGATATTTATTTGCTAAATAAACAATTTATTTTTGCTTAGATTTCTTTATTTACTATTATGCTTTCAATAGTTTTGTATGTTAATTCGTCGTAATTACCTATAATGAATAATCTGCTAGTAATTTTTAAATAATAAAAAATGTATAAAGCGAAACATAATTAATTCATTACAGAAAACATTGTAAGAATTGATTTGGGAAAAGGTCATAGATACGATTCATTATTTTTTGTAATAAGAATCTATCATAATACACTTATGTTGCATTAAAATTTGATTAACGTGCAGAACCCAAAAGCCCACTGGCATGAAATTTAATATCCACATTTTACCGTATTTCCAAATCAATAGGTCTTGTGGGCGAAGACTGATAAGTATTTTGTCATTGGAAACATGTAAATAAAACAAATAAATGTGTTGACAATTATATGATTGCGTGATTTTTTAACCTAGTCCATCACCAAGATACCTCTCCAGTGTCCAGATTTAACTTCAACAGAAAGAAAGTAAGATAGTACATTTATTTGTTTAGACATGATACATTAGAGGTCCTAATAGTAGACAAGCCTTCCTTATCTTCTACCATTTCTAGCGTACAAACGTTATATATTTTTAAAACTAAAATTACAATTTACAATGATATTTTATACTAAATATCGAGTGTTCCAATTTCCAAACAGAGTCACAGCACACATTGAAGACAGCAGCAAATGGTATAAAAAGGATAGCGTAATTAAAGCAATAAGAAAAAAAGAGGACAAGTATTGTCACATTAGCGTTAGTCTCGAAATGTATCATTCTTTCTCGTCCCAGTGTTAAACTATTTGCTGCCTCTTTCTTTGTTTTCTAACCTACACAAATTTAAAATAGGTATAAGAAAAATAATTTAAATATACTAATAAATCGAAGATATGTTGCATTATGTACCTACATGATATGAGATTCTTTGAATTTAGATTTTTTTTACGTGAACATGTGGCAAACGAGCTGGCGGTTCACCTGATGTTAAGTGATAACCGTTGCCACCTTTTAATAAAGAGGGCCCCGGCTACCTCACTCATCAGATGGAACGTAGAAGTATTCACTCGTCTACTTTATGCCGTTCGTAGCTAACCATTGGACCGAGCTACCCATTTATGCAACAGAGAACTGGATTGGCCCTACCACAGTCAGAGTCATACATATGGATAACAGGAGACGCTTGAAACTGCCTTGCTTTCTGCATTCATTATTAAAATACAAAGCACCAGCTTATTTATATAATAAATTGAGCTTTTCAAGACTTCTCGCGGTTCAATCCAAGGCCAAAAGCCCCTCCGTTTATCCTACCAAAACACACTAGTGCAAACTCGGGCAGTTTTAAGTTTGCTGCGTCTAAATGTTGGAATGACTTGCCCTCTCCACTTCGTAACATCCACTCCTAAGTGCCTTCAAAATAAAACTTCGAAAATAGCTTTTGATGCAGCAATTATTGGCTTCGAGTACCCAGTGCTTTAAATTTAATAGTTATTAATTGGATAGTTACATTAATATTAATAGTTAATGTACAATATTTTAGTACCTATTATAAAGCGTGTTCTTTAGGTAAATTATGTCTGGCTAGGACAGAATATCAAAGTTGGAATCAAAGTGAATCTTCCGTGCTACAACTTTTAGTCCTTGACCATTTTGTCTAAATAATTGTTATTATTTTATTTATATTACTCTTTATATATTTTGTGCACTGTATGTATATTTAGACAAATAAACGATTATTATTATTATACATATTTTAAGGTTAGGATAAAATTTTTATTATTATAAAATTTTTAACACCGCGTCTTACTCGCCGCCCTAATTATCCTGAACGACGAGACGTCCCAATTGGGACGTTTTAATTGCTTTACTTTGGGCGCGTTAACACCATACCTCTGTAGTATAAAATATCATTGTAGTTATATATATGAATAATACATACTTTAGAAAACATCTATTTGTTTGCCATTTAAATAATAAGTACCTGGATGATCGAGGTTTGCCCGGATTTGTTTTCTCACAAAAGAAGGAACTTGTAAAAAAGCAAAACAAAATAACCTGGGCTCGAATAAATAATAATAAAAAAATATCATTAAAACCTTTTTATCAAAATATTGTCTGATTTAACTGCACATATAAAATGAGAATGGCGAATAAAGAGCGAATAAAAATAAATCGATTGTCAAATGGTTTATTTACTCCAATATTTGTTTCATGATTATTACATGAGATAGTTAATCATCATCAAATATAAAATTAAAAATATTCTTTTCCCTTACTTGGTTTGCAGAATCTGTTGAGAAAAATAAATAATTTAGATCAAATATACACATGCTAAGGAATCAGAATATTTCATAAACTTCATCTCGTAGAAAAAAGGACGAAAAATTTTACTATAAATTTTAAAACTATCTTATGTGCAGAGAACAGCATACAAAACATAAATATTTTATAAACAATCTTAAAACAATGTGGCTCGCATCCCAGTGGCGTGCAACGTACAAGATAAAATACGACCGCGATATTCTATTGTATTAATCGTACCAACGGGGACATGAGATACAGATGGGCCATCAGGAACAGTCGCACGGGTCCATTCCCCTATTAAAGCTTCCTTGAGTACAGAACTCGTGGTCTAGTAAGAACGGAAGCGGAGTACAACCCTCGGTATTGGGAGGTATGTCATTTACGGGCCATCGAGGTTCGGTACGGACCGTGACCACGATGGCCGATTAATGTATTAATAAGTGGCTAGGGGCAGTGATAACGCCCAGGAACGGGGTTTTGCTCGTGTGCGCGGTGTGTTAGTTTCGTTGTACTGCGTGGGTGGTGTTTTCTAACGGGTCACTCTAGTAGGTCTCCCACAGTTTAGGACAGAAATAAGCATATCGGGCTTTTCATAGGGTCCAAAAAAGTTTTGGAGCCATGAATAATTTCTTCACTACATTGCTTCATTATTGTCACAAAAATGTCTATCAATGAAAGTGATTATTGAAATTTTAGTTGATATTATTGTTTTGTTAATTGTTTTAACTATGTAATGAAAACTAAGTATATTTTTTATTTACCCTAACAAAACGAATTTTAAACAATATATTTGATTTCAATACAGGGCTTACTTTGGGGCTTTTGAATATTGCATATTTATATTTATTTATATGTAATTGCATATTTATTTAGGGCTATTTGATATTGATTTTAGAGCCATTTTTTATTAGTAAAACAAAAATGTATACTTACATAATACGGCCATTACAATTTTCTTTAATCTCAATAACATTGTTTTTAAAAACAGTTTGTAACTTATCATTCCCATCAAAATCATTTTTTGTACACTTTTGAATAAAAATGTTTACTGCCTTCATTGCTTCATTCTTAAATGTTCCGAGAAATCTAAATTCAGTGTAATTGTCATCTTCAATAAATTCAGTAAAATATTCCATTATTGTTAATAACAAGTCATTGACTGAACAAGTATTTCCTTCATTAGTTTCAGATATTTTTCCTGCTACTGGATTATTGGAACTGGTACTTATAGTATCTTTGGTTTTGTCTCTAATTTTCTCATTTATTTTGCTGTTATTCACTTCTTCAGGGTTGTCAACCGTATCTTTGTTTAAGTCATCTGGAGTAACTAAATACATATTTTCTGGGGCTTCCTTATATAAACATAAGAAACTGAAACAATAATTATGATAATTTATTGAAAATTCCATTACATTTGTTGTACATGTATAAGAAATCAGTTTCTTCCCACAGCATTCTAACGTTGTCCACGCACGACAAATTGAGAAAAAAGCAATATGTTTACTATCTTAAATTATGTTTAAGTTATAAAATTAGTACTTTAATTGTTATTATTATTATCAGAAGATACGGTCCATATGTTATCTTGGCATGAAACCAACAATATTAAAGATCTGGAAAGAAATTGAACCAACCTTATTTAGACCTAGTTAAATTGATCGCATACCAAGTCAGAGTTAGCGGCAGGCTTCGGTGCGAGTGACAAAACAATTTTAATAAATTTGATGTATCAAATTTGTAAATTTGAAAACTGAAAAGAGAACTTTGTGGGATTCTGGTCAAATTCAAAATTATACTATATAACTATATAAATCTAATAACATAATAATAATCTAATAAAATAATAATAATCTAATAAATATAATATGGGTCAACTATATAAATCTAATATATAAAATTCTCGTGTAACGGTGTTATTGAACTCCTCCGAAACAACTCGACCGATTTTCGTGGAATTTTGTGTGCATATCGTCCAGGGTGGATTATCCGATAACATCTATTTTTCATCCCCCTAAATGTAAATGGTGTTCCCCCCCTAAATTTTTTTTTTTATATAAAAAATTTTTTTTTTATATTTTATATAAAAATTTTGTTTTTATTTTTTTAAAATACAGCATACAAAAATACATACAACCCTAAATTTTCACCCCTCTACGCAGACGTAGTCGCGGGCAGTAGATAATCTATATACAGCATGTCGTTACAACCGCCACAATAAATGAACATATACGTGTAGTTACCATCGCGACAATAAATGAACACACGTCTAACGTTACTTGCCAATAATCATAAAAAATATTAACGTTAAACAAAATCCATAATTAAAAAAAAATATATTTCAAACAAAATAATTAAGTAAAAAAGAAACAATTTGTAACATCCTATACAACTCGCGCCACAGCGTTGCATTACAAGCCTCTCCTTCTAACAGTATGTTTTGTCTCTTTTAAATTCATTCAACCCATTCACATGCTATGTGACCTTTACAAATAAACTTTACGTTACAGTTTTATACTTAAGGGTGATCTAAAATTCTTTGTTTTGAAAAATTTAATAACTCTGTAAATATTGATGTTTAAAGAATGTAAATGTTTAATACAATTTTAAAAAGTTATCCCCTATATGTGTTCATTTATTGTCGCGATTGTAAAGACACGCTGTATATAGGAACACTTTTTAAAATTGTATTAAATATTTACATTATTTAAACATCAATATTTACCGTGTTATTAAATTTTCCAAACCAAACAATTTTAGAACAACCCTTACATATAAAACTGTAATGTAAAGGTCACAAAGCATATGAATGGGTTGAATGAATTTAAAAGAGACAAAACATACTATTAGAAGGTTTTTAATGCGACGCTGTGGCAACGAATGAATCTCTGAATGTATGAATCAGTCAGTTGTAGTTCTATAGGATGTTGCAAATTTTGTTTCTTTTTTATTTAATTACTTTGTTTGAGAAATATTTTTCATTAGTTATGGATTATTTTAATGTTTATATTGTACATGCACTATTAAGTTTCTAAGAGCGCTGTCCCATTTAGGAGGAATTCAGTGACATACACACGTACAGAAGAATTACGTAAGACATATATACATATATAACCTAATATTTACCGATTTGGAACAACACCTTCACTCTCTGTAGTTAATAGATAGTTATTAAACTTAAAAATTTCCTGAGCAATATCCATTTGTGCAATAGTGTCAAAGTCTGTACTAACTGCATCAGCATTGCTTGCTAGGGCTTCAACTATTTTATGCACCCATTTCCTCTCTTTCTTCCATAAACAACATTCAAAAACAATTTCATGTTCTAAATCACATTTAACAAATTCTAAAATATGAAGCAGAACATTAGTATCAAAGTTTTCTTTGACATTCTTCTTATTTTTGAGCTCATTTTTTGGTCTTTTTTCATTTCGCCCAAGCCCAACCGTTGTTGTGGCCTAAAATATAAATTATATCATTACAACAAATTATTGGATAATTTATCACATATACATTTTTTATAAGTCAACTGTAGTAGAGCAACATAAGCTAAAATAACAATCAAACTGCTTCACCAATTGAGTAAGGAAAGTTCCACCAAAGATCTTCATGAAGTAAACATATTTATACTTTTGTCTTTATTTTTATTAAGTAAGCTAACTATATATTCCACACTCTCATCTCGTTTATCAACACCCTTGCTATATATACCTGGAATTACTTGGTTGTCAATCTCTAAATACTATCAGATTAACCATTTCTTAAACTTATACACACAGAAGAACAAACATAAAAAGAAAAAAAAAATGTTATTTAATAATATTAAATAAAAAATAATTGTACATATATTTATATTAACACTTACATAAGAAGCATTTGGTGCAATGGGCTCAATTATACCCTCACCGTGTTTGCCTAGTGCACCACCTTGCCAACCCATTTTCTCCATCATTCTATTAAAATTAATATAATCCATCAATGATAACATTAGAATTTAAAATATGTAGAAAAAGTGCGAAAAGATTGTTGCCGCTGTGGGAATTGAACCCACGTCTTCGGCATTCGCGGCCTGACGCTCTAGCCACTGAGCTAAACGGCTGATTACCACACCGACGAAAATCTTAACGCATTCTTCTACATTGTTTTCTTAGCATTTGAAGCAATGCTTGGCGCCATCTATTGTTATATCCTTTCCAGCATACAAACGACAATCTTTTCGCACTTTTTCTACATATTTTAATGTTCAATCTTAAGTGCAAAGATTAGCAATATAAACAATTTAAACATTAGAATTGTTATAAATCCAGAAGTATACTTATCAGTACAAATTTGATGTGATAATGTACAAGTACACTTTATACCTTTCAGCTTTTGTTATTTGTACAGGTTTAGCAAGCATCTCACCAAGTTTCTTTTGAACTTTATTTTGTTTTTTATTGGTGTTACAACATACTTCAACAGTGTTTGCCCCTTCTCCTGCTTTCAGCCAACCTTGAAATCTCTGCCCAAATCTGGAATAATAGAAATAATTATCTATTCCAGATTTTACTGGCAGGCATTTAAAAAATTATGACCGTTAGTTACCAACCTATTATTAGATTCAAGATAAATATTAAATAAATCTGGGTCTTTATACAGGGAATTACGCTTAATAATCCTCCTACCCTTTTTATCTCTACAAAATGATTCTAAGTCCATATTTGTCTCAGTAAAAAATGTTGAAGACATATGTCCAACAAATCTGCAATCTTGATTTCTCAACTGTGACATCCATGACACATTTTGACTTTTACAATGTTTCAAGCTGCTGTGATTCATTTTATTGGAAACTACTAAGTTTTAAATACAAAAATGTAAGCATATATTTATTCATTTGTAAGAGACATTACAATGGCTTTTTATTTCAACATAATCTTTAATTGAAAGTAATACTTTTAATTACTCATGTATTCTTCTTTTTGAAGGTTTTTCGTGCATACACTTAATTTAATAGATTTTATTTGTAGTATCTATTGCACTCCTAAAACAATCAACAAATCTGGTTAAGCGTTAGTAAAGAAAAAAATTACAGTAAAACAAAGTAAACGGTAACTTCGTAATTCATATTCATTTTGTTAATAAAAAAGGTGGCGGCGGTCCATATGATATCTCCAATGACACAAAAATGGTAAAGAAACAATTGGTTTCAAATATCTGAGAATATCTTCTGGTTGTTTATTTTTGACCCGCTTTTATAAAGAAATGATGAAGAGAATAATTCTATGCATTATATATATATATATATATATATATATATATATATATTATATTTGATATACATGTATATATATAGAATATCTAAACAAATTTCTTAGGGAGAGAGAGGGAGTTCACAGAAAGTATTAGCATCTCTGGCTGATTTGAATTGAACAGAAATCCTGTTTCTTCTCGCTTTTTTAACACCCTTATTAAGAATGTTCTGAATTTTATTACAAAATAGAAATTGGCCAAACTTTATAGCTTTTAAATATTTGCCAGCAGAATGTTCATTAACAGTTTTATTGATGAGATCAATGAATGCACCAGGGTCCTCATCAGAATATTTAGTCTTTGTTGAAATGAAATCGGGATGGACATAATTCAATTGAATTGACGGAGTGGATTGGGATGGGTTGGTTATGATCTTTTTTGAGGAATGTACATAAGACGAATCCTCCTGGGTGCGTTTTCTTGACCAAGATATTGATTTTGATGTAGGATCCGATGTATCCGAAGAAACAATATTGTTGCCACTTCCTGAGTCAGGCGGTTCAGTATCCATTATATCGATTTTAGAACAAATTAACTGTTTGAAATACTAACAATTTGGTAACGCAGAATTCCACCTACACTAAAATTATGAAAATATGAGATGTCAAATTAGCGTCATAAATCTACATTTACAGATTTTATGTTATTAATAATAAAAATCTACTTAATTTTCTACGATGAGCACTAATACACCATGAAAATGAGGATGTAATGCATCAATAAAAATAATTAAATCAAAATGAGAGCGAATGAGCTGCAGAAAGACGTCAATTCGAATCTCAAAACTCCAATTTCTCTTAAAATATTTTCGGATCTGATGCATAAAATTTTCAGATATATAAAATTACTCTTCTTCTTCTTCTAAGGTAGTTGGCAGTCCTTATGAAAAAGTACTCTTCTTCTTCTTCTTCTTTTCTTTTTTGGCGGTTTTCAATGAATACGCCAATGAACACTAAAAGTACTCTTAGATCTGATGGAAAGATTTATTTATTACTATTTTCACTATTAGTATTTTGTATTTGTCTGTACTGTCACTGTCAGTGCAGTGTAGGGATGGGCGTATATACTGGAACAGGTATAAATACCCAGTATGAACATACCAGTACGCACACCGGGTATGCACGGCAGAGGCCCGTTCCATACCCGATAGGTATGGCCGCCTCATCCGACGGTGGCGGTATATAACGCTCGCGACAACCCGCCGGCCGAATAGGTACGAAGTTCCCCGAACGCTTACGGTGGCTCTTCCCGATCATGCCCGAATTGAAACGTATGATTTAAGCATTTTATACCAAATAATTCCTTGAGATAAATTTATTCTTTATTTCTATGACCATAAGTTAAATAAATAATTGCGTAATAAGGTTAAACAGTAATATTTATTTTGAATTACTTTTTTTTGATAATAAGGTTCTTTACGTTAGTAAAGATGGAGCTTATTTTAGACTGATTAAATCTCAATTTAAAAAACTGATTGCTAAAAAAACATCTAAATGTTCCAATTCCAACCAAAGAAAGGTTCAATTCCATACCGAGTCTCCAAAAGGAGGCCTGAACATAACTAATACCTATAGGTATTTTGATACTGGGTTTTAGCACCGGGTATACGGCGATACCCGTACCTTTGAGGCCGGGTATAGAATTGTTAGCCTATTTATGCGTTTATATTTTATATTGACTAGAAAACTAGTCTTACTTTGTAAACTATTATAATATTTTCGATTAATTATAAATTTATGTTCGATAAAACTTTTGTAAAATAGCGACATTATATCTTGGAAATATGGCAACATTGAAATGTAAATTAAGATCCGATATTTTATTTATTTTTCATAAAGACTTAACTAAAGCTGTAATTAATTGTCACAAATATTGTAAGAAATATTAAACTAATTTATTATGTATTTTAAAAACAGTACTCATAACACAATAAGAATAAGGACGTGTGAATGATGCGTTCCGGGTACTGCCCAACAGCGGTACAAGGAACAGATGCTCTCTCTTGGCACGGTCGTCGGAAAGAAAAGACATGTAATTAGCGAAATATTGTAATAAAATTATAAGAAGAACTTAAGGACTACTTAATTCAATGTTTAAAACCTATACTTCAGAAGTATCCTATAGAATGTTGCAGGTATATCTCATGCCTAGCAGTGTCAAACTATCAATTAGCGATGGGTGTTAAATGTAAACCAACGAATTAGTTAAATCAACGGTTAATCTCTTGTCATAGTTTTAACGTCGACTCTACAAAATATCATACCGTTTATTGATCTAATATTTTACAAGTTTAAATCTATCTAAAATTACATATATCTAATAAACCTAATCCACGCGGCATGGTGGCAAAAACACTAGCTGCATTTCCTCACTGAATGCTTAACCTTTGAGCGAGAAAAGAACCAGCTCTCTTATCACCAGCCGTGGCGTTAAGCCTAGGACATAAACTTTTTAAAAAAAATGATGTGCGGGGACCCAACAGCAAATGGCACAAATACATAATGGCTCATATTTGCGCCATTTACTCACATCCGCTGACTCCGATGCCGCCTCGGCCCTGACTGAAGTACCCCTTAGATGAGAGGCAGCCAAAATGTCTACACAATTAGCGTCCCAAACAAGGGCTTTGCCTCTCTCCCACGGGATAAAAATTAAACCATCGGGTCTCTTACTATCGTCGTGAAATATGCCACAGGGCTCTAAAATAGATGGAACATTGATGGAAACAGCCCTACGGATGATGTCGTTCAGGGAACTGTGGCGGGAAAAGCAGCCAGCACTTTTTTACAAGAAAGCCCGTGGAGACCAAACTTATCTACACTGACACCACAAGGGCATTGGTGTGGTTGACAAATCGTTGCCCCCAAACGGATCCTACAGCAATGCGTAAGTTTCATCGTCAAGTAATGTGCCTAATTTACTTGATGGTAAAGCGTGAAGCTAATAACGCGATGAGACGCCTATGAAACGCGAACGCTCTAAATTATTTTTTAAAGATTAAAACGTATCTTTCTGTACTCTCCACACCAAAGGAACATGCTGGTGCTGGTTTACTTCCAGTGGGATATTTTCGTTGGAGCAGATAGACAGCCAAGACATCCTTGCCTCCTCGGCATAGGAAAGTTCTGAATTGTATTTAAGGATATTATTACATAAATTATTTACGCTCAAATTATATACGACGAAACGATATATTACGATTCAAAATAGTGACCCATTAAGTATTAGTACCTGGAGGACCATCGATTTTCCGCCCCCGAATCTACGCACATACTAAATTTCATGAAAATCGCTGGAGCCGTTTCCGAGACTCCGATTATACATATATAATTAATTATGTAATTGCTCGTTTAAAGGATAAGATTCATGGCCCTACTTTTTGGACCCTGAAACAAGCCCAATATGCATATTTCCGCCCTAAATTTGGGACTAAAAGCCATACAGCCTTTCAAAAAGGCAAGCCTGCGTCGATTGGCTGCTATAAGTGCTATAACTGGCTTAAATATTTCTGCCGCCGCAACCAGGCTGCCTAGGGCGTTGGGAACCTGCTGATCTAAGACATACCGTTATATTTTCTTTATCTCGAAAATAAACAACGATATATATTTCTACACTTTATTCGTCTACACGATTACAACAACTAATTCATTTAACATAAGACATTAGAGGACTACAGCTGACAAAGTAAATTCAAAAATGGCTTCCGTAAAATTAAGTTGGTTATTCTTAAATATATAAGCACTTAATCAAATAGAAATATACAAGCCAAAACAGAGATGTATAATAAAAAATGTTTCATATTTTTTGCAAATATTTTTCTAATATTTTATTTTAAATGAAGTGCATGAAACAATATAAATTATGAAATTATTCGGTCATCCAGTAGAAACGCGATCCAAATCTTGCCGGTTTCTTTTCTGCACCCTCTGGTAGAGCTGGAGTGGCATCTGGGTAAACAGCCTTTGGTTCGACGGGAGGTTTAGGTCTGTCAATTGTAAGAATTAAAAGTGAAACTTTGGAACATTCGGACCTATTTCTATATACACTTGTAAATAAATAGGCGGCGCGCCATTGTTAAGCTATTGGCGTCAGAGGTATTTGTGTGATCCACAGATAATTGTTCCGGATCTGTGTTTCGCAAAGGTTGACGTAATCCAGGCAGCCAGTCGTAAAAAAATATTGCCAAAACCACTTCCAACATGATTCACATGTTTTGCCATCCCCACCTCGGTTGGATAAGAGCAGGAGATAATAATGATTTGTAAATAAATAATTTACAAAATAATATTTGTTACGAGGGCGGGATGATAAGTAACTAGCCTAATAAGAAAACACTTAACTTTCCGTGATAAAATTAATTTTATTTTTCGACATACTCTCCGTGAACCGCTTCACACTTATTCCATCTTCGTTCTAAAGCAGTAATGCCTTCCAGAAAATGATTTCTTTCGAGGCCTGCAAAATACTCCTCTACGGCGGCTATGACTTCATCATTTGTGGCAAATTTCTGCCCTCCCAAAAAAGTTTTGAGCTTAGGGAATAAGTGGAAGTCTGATGGCGCTAGATCAGGCGAATAAGGTGGGTGAGGCAGCAAATCATACTTCAATTCGTTGATTTTTGCCATAGCTTTAACACATGTGTGAACCCTAGCGTTGTCTTGGTGGAAGATGTTTTTTTTTTTTCACCAAACCTGGTCGTTTTTGCTGAATACATTGATGAAGCTTATCAAGAAGATTAGCGTAGTATTCACCATTAATTGTTTGACCTTTAGTAAGGTAATCTATCATCAAAATCCCATCTGCATCCCAAAAGACGGAAGCCATCACTTTTCCAGCCGACTTTACAGCCATGGCTTTTTTTGGAGCCGGGCATCCCGATTGAGTCCATTGTTTTGATTGAATTTTTGATTCTGGCGTGTAATGATGAACCCATGTTTCATCTGTTGTTACAAATCGACGTAAAAAATCGGCCTTATTACTCTGAAAACGGTCCAGACATTCTTTTGAGTTTTGCACCCGAATCCTTTTTTGATCGTGCGTAAGCAATCGCGGCACCCAACGGGCCGATAACTTTTTCATATTTAATTCCTCACTTAGGATATGATGTACCCGTTCTTTTGAGATACCTGTAGTGTCAGCTATTTCAGATAACTTCAATCATCGATCTGCTAAAACCATATCATGTACTTTCACGACCATTTCCGGAGTCGTAACGCTTTTTGGACGTCCGGGGCGGGCTTCATCTTGGACACATGTACGACCGCGTTTAAACTCAGCCACCCAGTTTTTTACTGTGGCATAAGAAAGAGCATATTCACCCAAAACATTCTTTAACTCGTCATAGATATCTTTCGCCTTCATCCCCTTCATATGAAGAAACTTTATCACCGCTCTTTGTTCAATTTTATCCATTTTGAAAATAGTTGACGAAATATATTTTCAAATGACAAAAAAACAATAAAATTTTCACGCCACCTAATTCAAATTTAGAACACAGGTGGCCAGAGATACGAATTTAAAAATGACATATATATTTTTTTTATTTTAACTTTTTAAATAGCAATGGCTAGTTACTTATCATCCCGCCTACGTAACAATAATGAGCATGGACGCCCTCACTTTATTTCATCTTTTAGTTTAAGGTCCTAGGCCTAATATATGAATACTTAAGAGTATAATCAATAGCAATAAGACTGTACACTAGTTTGGTTAATAATTTTAAGGAAAGTCTTTATATTTATACTGAAATAAAAATGTATACTTAAGTTTTGCGAGTACAGTAAAGAAAATAAAAGTATTCATACCTTTTGGTATCATGGACACGCGGCTCACAAAAGTAACCAAATGGAGGGCGCTCCAAGTTTAAGTTCTCCAACATACACTTGTCAAACACACCTTGTGTTTTGCGGCAACTATAAAATAATAAAATAGTTTAATAAAAAAAAAAACAAAGATCCTATTTACCATTGCCAAAATAGTTCAATGAAAACAATAATATTTGGTTAAGAATTCCAAATTCAATTTTATAAAATCATTTGAATTTTGAAAACAGTAATTTATTTGTTTCTTCCCCATTATTTTATTCTTTGCTCGCTTATTACCGCACAATGGGAAACATGAAATATCGGTATATTTACGAGTACGAGTTCTACCGTGGCAGCAGTACTGCAGAAAACGCTCGAAGGATTAATGATGTGTACGGCGATGGTGTCGTAAAAGAAAGCACGGTACGTTTTTGGTTTCAACGGAGACCAAAGTGGAAAATGAAGAATTTAAAGGCTATTGTGGAAGCGGATCCATCACAAAGCACATCAGAGATAGCTTCAGGCTTCGGGCTCAGTGATAAAGCTGTATTAATCCACTTGAAACAAAAAACTTGAACGATGGGTACCTCTTGAATTGAGTGAATCGAACTTGCAAACACGCGTCGACTGCTGTGTTTCTTTGCTCTACCGACACAATAATGAAGGGATTTTAAATAGAATCATTACCTGTGATGAAAAGTGGACACTGTACGATAATCGGAAGCGCTCGTCGCAATGGCTGAACCCTGGAGAACCAGTCAAATCCTGCCCTCAACGAAAATTGACTCAGACTAGCGCCGTTGTCGTTCACTACAGCTTTCAAAAATCTGGCCAAAGGATTACGGCAGATATCTATTACATACGGCAGATATCTATATACATGAAGGAAGAACTAGCTGCTAAACAACCGAGATTGGTCAATCGCTCTAGGCCACTGCTGCTTCACGACAACGCAAAACTACACACTGCATAACAAACAACCACTAAGTTAGATGAGCTACAATTGGAATGTCTGCGACATCCACCGTACTCCCTTGCTCCAACAGATTACCATTTTTTCCGAAATTTGGACAACTTCTTACAAGGAAAAAAATTCAACTCCGATGCGGCAGTCCAAACCACCTTCAAAGAGTTTATTTTTCTCGCCCCTTATGGTTTTTTTAGTAAAGGATCAATGAACTACATATGAGATGGCAAAAGTGGATAGATAACAACGGTGCATACTTTGATCAATTAAAACTATTTTACAAATAAAAATTGACTTTGTATTCCTCCCGTACAAAACGGCAATTTCATATGTAAGGGCCTTTAACACTTAATTTCAAAAGAAAAATATAAGTACACTGTGCTTCAATAGACATTATTCCGCTGTTCGTTCTATATATCAATGATTTCTTGAAGTTTGCCAACATTCATTGGTATGCGGATGAGACTACATGTTACGCATTATACAGCGTGTCGTTACCATCGCGACAATAAATGAACACACATATAGAGGATAACTTTTAAAAATTGTATTAAACATTTACATTCTTTAAACATCAATTTTTTTTAGTTATTAAATTTTCCAAAATAAATAATTTTAGAACACCTTACGTATTAAACTGTAAAGTTCATTTGTAAAGGTCACAAAGCATATGAATGGGTTGAATGAATTTAAAAGAGACAAAACATACTGTTAAGTGATCCTATATACAGCGTGTCTTTACAATCGCGACAATAAATGAACACATATAGGGGATAACTTTTTAAAATTGTATTAAACATTTACATTCTTTAAACATCAATATTTACAGAGTTATTAAATTTTCCAAAACAAAGAATTTTAGATCACCCTTAAGTATAAAACTGTAACGTAAAGTTTATTTGTAAAGGTCACATGCATGTGAATGGGTTGAATGAATTTAAAAGAGACAAAACATACTGTTAGAAAGAGAGGCTTGTAATGCGACGCTGTGGCGCGAGTTTTATAGGATGTTACAAATTTTGTTTCTTTTTTACTTAATTAGTTTGTTTGAAAAATATTTTTTTTTAATTATGGATTTTGTTTAACGTTAATATTTTTTTATGATTATTGGCAAGTAGCGTTAGACGTGTGTTCATTTATTGTCGCGATGGTAACGACACGCTGTATACCAGCCGGCCAAATATTTCCCAGAAATATTTTGACGAGAGTCGGAATGAACTTGTGTCTGAAATCGAGTTTTTGTTCTGAAAAATCTCGGATTGGGGCCGACTAAATCTAGTCCAATATAGCCTAATGAAGACAGGTTTGCGCGTTCACCGCGAATAGGAAACCCTTCATTTCCCTCTTTTGAAGGCACGTGGCGACAAGGCCACTGATGCTATCGGAATTCTTGGCGTTAACATATCATGAGGCGTTCAATTTCGCGGTCATTTGGAAGGATAGCCAAATGTGGCTTCTAAAAAGCTTGGTGTCCTAAATCGAGCGTGACAGTATTTCCTACCGGCACATCGCATTAAAAAGCTCAGATTCGGTGGCTCATGGAATACAGTTCTCACTTGGGCTGGGGCATCAAAATACCAGCCACTTCTTTTTGACGGACGGACGACCAGGTCCTGTCCGATCACCTCGACTCTATCGGCCTTGTGAAGGGATGTTGCATCCTTTTGCATTTTGGGGAGTGCTCTGAGTACATGTTCAGATTGATATCATTCATCATCATCCTTGTAAATTTCACCATTGCATTACTCGTCAAACTGCCAATTACCATCGTCACCACCTTGATGGTTGGCGGTCCACCACTTTGCGTCCTTCACGCCAGTAGGAACCAGTAGTCGTCAGCGGTATTTCCGGTCCAATACAACTTAGGGACTTTCAAAAAGTGAGCCTAATCCTATTTTAAAAGCTGGCAATGCAATTTTGTAACTCATCCTATGTTGCAAGTGTGCATGGGCGGCCGAGATCGCTTACCATATAAAAAAACCTTATATAAAAAAAATGTACTTAAAAATGTAGCTTAGGTTGATTTTATCATGCATGTGGAAGCTCTGACTTAGCAGAGTAATCATAATATAGTCCATACAATAGTAAACTCGCCAATCATTTTGGTAGTTTTGACATAAGTGTACTGACGTTTTTATTTCCTTGCACTTTGTGGCAAAATATTGCGGCTTTAAAAACACTAAAGATATTTCTAATATTTTAATGAGATTTCTACAAAGCTGAACTAACCAATGTGATTTATCATAATGTGGCAGATTGAATGAACTGTAGTGCATATTATTAATAAACTCACAAATACCACAATCGTTAACCAGTCTATTTGCATAGATAAAATACTTTACCTTAGTTCAGAAAATAATTAAATCACAAAAAGCCACATGATCAACTAGTCTATGTGGCAGATTGAATCTTTACCTTGGCTCAAAAAGAAACCCAAACTATGGAAAGCCACAATGATTAATAATATATAACAATTTTTAGTTTAGCTAGCTTGCAATAAATAAACAAGTGATGAAGTTTGAAGTACAACAGACTACTTACGAACCTTGGTAGGTTATACATGAGCAACTTTCGTACTGAATCATTTCTTCAACTCTTTTAATACCGTACCATAGTAAATTCACAAATATGCTATAGCTTCATAACAAGCTAGAAATGTGCTATTTTTAATATAATGTACTCTAAGAGTTACAATTGCAATAACATGAAAAAACTCCACTAAAACCCTGATTGGCTGCATACTTTTTATATTAAAACCCACCTCCACAATTAGACATTTGCGGATTGGTAAGTTTAATTCAGACCCAACAATATAGTTCTTAAATCATATAAAAAATTAGGAAAAATTTATATATATATATATATATATATATACATATATATAATAACACCAGTTTCAGATGCATTGACATATTACAGACTCATCAAGAGTGGTTTGAAATTCTAAAATGTAGAGCAGAGTCTAGCAAGCACCAACATTATATAATCACTACATGGTATAAAACAAAGCTGTCCCGTTGTCTGTCTGTCCCTATGTATGCTTAGATCTTTAAAACTATGCAACGGATTTTAATGCATTTTTTTACTAGACAGTGTGATTCAATAGGAAGGTTTATATGTATAATACATTGCATCCATGCGAGGCCGGGGCGGGTCACTAGTCTAGTTTATGGAAAAATACCGACAAAATGTTTGTATCTTTTAAAATACATAACACTTACAATTCAAAACTATAATCTCCAGAACTCTTGTCAATGCAGTTTGCATATTGGTTGAATTCGTCCAGGCAAGTCTTTTTCACTTTGCGAAAGAAATCCAATGTGCAGGCAGTAACAGCTTTACCCTCATTTATACATTTTCTTGGATCTTTCTCCTCAAAACGGCAGAGCATAAATTCCTGAAAATAAATGCTTCACATATTTATGAAGAGCATTAAGTATGATGGTAAAATCTCTTTTCATTTGAAGACACAATTGCACGAAATTTATTAGCAACAATAATATTATCAAAAAAAACTTCACCCGAAGAACATTTTCCTTGTCATTTGGGTTTTGAATATGCTTTAAACTGGAAATCGGGTTAATGTCTTTTTAAATAATAGACACGAAAAACATATCAAATTTATAAATAGATTGCATTATAGCTAAACACAACGTTATATTTATAAAAGAAAACATAACCTAAATTATTATAGTTATGCAATCAATTGATTAATATATTATTCGGTGATATTCACCCTGCTAAAAGAAAGTATGGTAAAACTAACAAAATACTTACATTATTTGCTTGTTCACAATACTTTCCCAAGTGAAAAGACCCAGCTCTCAAAGTAGCTGTTGTTAAATTGACCTCCTCCACTGTAAGCTCTGACTCCTCTGGTAGAACAACGTCTGCAGTTACTACCATTTTTTTTAGTTTTTACGAATAATTAATAATTTTAATGCCACTAATAATTTAAAATAATAATAAATTTTCTCCCACTAAACCTGTGGGAGATATTTCAAAAACTGTTGAAGACACTGGTTGAAGATTTTTAACTACATCATAGAGACTTGTGTCATTATGAGTTATGTCATTTTGTCAAGTGTCATTGTTCTTTTGTTAATGTCTGTCCTTTCTGTGATGTCAATATACAACTTTTCATAAAATATTAATTTGGTTAAATAAATCCTTAAATCGGGCCAACTGGCTAACCTGGAAACATAAGGTAACCCTACTGCTTCGAGGTTCGGCAAATGATTTGAAACGAGCAATAAATGGTACCTTAAACAAGCCAGTGCTATCTGACAATGATGCTGCGTCAGAGGAAGCAAGGGCTGCTTATCAAAAAGCTCTTAAGAAGTATCATGAAATTGACTGCGTAGCACAGCTGGTACTCGCAGCAAATATGTCTGATGAAAATGTAGAGAAAATTATGAGATTTTGTACTGCTCAAGAAGTATGGGACGAGCTTCACCGCCTCTATGATGGAACTTCCGAAGATGATGATGATGATACTTCGTATGATTTTTGTATGCAATTGACATGACTACCCATCTGTCTAAGATCAGGAACCTCTGGTTTGAATTCCAAATTAAACTAGCAAAAGATGAGAAGTGTGACCTCCCGGATATATTGTTAATATGCAACATTTTTGACACATTACCGGAGAGTATTTCTCATTCAAATCGAGTTGGATTTTACTGTCGAAGAAGAATCGTATTGTAGAAAGTCGTACGTCTCAACTGTGTGCACATGAGAAAGCATTACTTTGCAAAAATGAAGACGCTGCTGCTGAAGCTTTAGTGACTTCAAGCAATAGAGACGGTGTCAAACGGAAAGGAAAGAAGCTGAAATGCCCATATAGTAAGCAAGTTGGACATAAAATAAAGAACTGCCCAAAATGGATTTCTGCGGGAAGACCTCCCAAGCCAACAGTCTCCCAAAATATCAACCAAATGAACCTTTTGGCAATGCAAATCACTACAAGCCAAGCTATGAATACTGTAGTTGAAGATCCAAATAACTGGTATGTCGACAATGGTGCCATCATTGTCGACATACCAGTTATTTGGATCTTCTCATCACGTCACCTTTCGCAACGACATTTTTGCCACTTTTAAATACTTTAAACAAGACAAAACAATGACAACAGCAAGTGGTGCGATTAAAGCTATCGGAAAAGTTAAATATTAGATTATATGATGTCTGGTATGCTCCTGAAATTAAAAGAAATCTCTTCTCAGTTCTCGCTGCACAAGACATGTTGATAAAAGCAAATTCATATCAATGAGAGGTTTGTTATTTGAAAGTGAACGGCAAAGTTAAATTAATTGGAAAACGAGTGAAGAACGGAGGGCTGTAAAAGTTAAATATTCAATGTTTAACAAGCATCACTCTTAACTTAAACACTGTAGAAGCAAGTGATAACGTCCTGCAACTTTATCATGAAAGGTTTGCCCACCAAAGTAAAAGGCATGTTAAGAAGGTTATCGCACACGTTCTTGGACTCAAAGTTAATCTGGATTCTGTATTATGCACTGCCTGTATTTATGAAAGAATGTTCAGACGAAAAAATGAGACTAGAGAACGAGGAGAGGAACCAGGAGAGGTCATTCATACTGATGTTTGTGGACCTTTTCCGTAATCCTTCAACAAAAATAAGTACTTCGTACTATTCAAAGATGATTTAACAAATATCGTCACGTATTCTGTATCAAACATAAGTCTGAAGTACATTTGAAACGACAGTAAGTACTACAAAGTGGCCGGATATTCAGTTAAAGAGATCATCTCGGACCATGGAGGAGAATTTGACATTGAGAAAATTAGAAAAATACTTCGACAGGAAAGTACATCTCAAAAACTTCCAATGCCGTGTACACCGCAACAAAATGGAAGCAACGAGCGTGAAAACCAGACATTAGTCGAGGCCGCCATAAGTATGATGCACGCTCAACAATTACCCCTTGCCATTTGGGCTGAATTAATATCAACTACGATGTACATCCTTAACAGGACCGGACGTAGGTCCAGTCTACTGGAGTAGTCCAGAACCAAATAAATCTCCACATGAACTCTGGTTAAATAAGAAGCCATCAAATGTCATTAAATCTATTGGTCTCGAGGATCCTAAAGTTTTTCAAGAATTTTCTGTTAAAATAGAGCTATCTTCAAACAACGACAATCATAAAATGCATGAAGCAAGGGAGGAAGAACGTGAGAAACAATGCGAACCAGAAATTAATCTGCCAATATCTGAAGTTGAATCTGAATCTGAAGTTTCCATTGATTGCCCACTTGCGATGTGCCTCAAATATTTAATGATTTACCTGATCAAACTGAAAATGAACATGGAGATTCAAATGACGAACAAATCTCTGAATGTGATATACATGAAGATGAGATACCTGTTGAATCGAGAATGCAATTGAGAGATAGATCTCAACTACGACCACCAGTTCGATATGATGATTAAGTTTTGATGTCTGCCGCAAATGTTTTATCAAGTGGTGAAGGCCCAGACATGTCATAAAGCCCTTGCAAGTCCAGTAAAGAATCAATGGATTCAAGCGACTTAGACACACCGGACCCACCGCCGGGGGTCCCGCCGGATAACACTACACCCACAGCTAGTGTAACAACAAACACAATAGTTCGACCTCGCCTCCGAGCACGGCGAGACCTACACAACGCGTACACAAGGTACACCCGCGTTTCAGGGCGGTTCTCACCGCCTCATTATATCAGAGACATTTAGTCCACTTGCCAAAATGGGTGCAAAAAGAGAAAGATGTCTTTTGAAAATATTGCAATTTCTTGGGTTATTTTATTTTTACTTGACATTCAGCAAGAAAAAATTGTCCCACTTCATACACTTAACATTTTTAAAACTTATTTTATTGAGGTAATAAAAATCCGGTGCTTGTAATATACTTTATTAATTAAATTGATAAAATTTCGAGCAATTCTTATACATCAAAAAGGTAACTGAAAGATTATCTATCTTCTATTTGACGTTGTGTTTACGTCTCATCTATTTTCATTATTATTATTATTACATGTTCTCTAAGTGGTTATTGAACGCTGCATCCAGTGGCTCCTGCACATTTCTTGATTGGTCATCACCTAAAAAGTAAATGTAAAAATGTATATTTTTTATATCTAAGTTGTACCTACTTATAGTTTACATGGTTAAAACTGTTACATAATAATGTATAAATATTTAAGCAATGCAAATAGAGATGGATTATTATGTACTACAATAACGGCTTATTTAGAGGAGTCTTTTTTTTAATGTGAAAACATGGCAAACGATCTGGCGGTTTACCTGAAGTTAAGGAATAACCGCCGCCCATAGAAATTTGCAACACCCGTAGTGTTGAAAATGCGTTGCCACCTTTAAATAAAGTGGGCCCCGGCTACCTCACTCACCAGACGAAACGCAGAAGAATAACACTTCTACTTTACGCCGGTTTTCTGTGAGATCGTGGTACTTACCCGGAAGGACCTGCCTGTATTGCAACAGAGAACACTATTGCGAGGCCCTACCACAGTCAAATATGATGAAGGATTTCAAGTTAGCTCCCTTAACAAGTCAACCCGCTAGCGTTGTTATACCCGGTGCAATACGGATGACTATTTTGTAAAGTATAGTAGTGACTTTTAACGACCTCTGCGACCCAGAACATCTATTGCAGTAATCCCTTCGAAAACATCGCCCCCTTCCAGTACGATGACATTATCTTGTGCTTTAAGGTTTTGCATACATAAATTGCATGTCTACAAACACCGAAATAATTATCTGTGGGTAACACAAATATTTGTATCTTGTCGGAATTGAAGTCACGACCCTCGACACCGAAAACAAGGCCTTGGCAATTGCGCCACAGAGACATCACACATGATGATACAGACGACGATACGACTGATAAAGATAGTCTCGGACTTAAATCAACACTAAGTAGGTATAATATTAAAGGATTTAAAAAAATGAAGTTTATATAATGATTCATTCCGTGATCACAGCGCCATAATTTTCCTCGAACAATGGAGTTACTCCCTAATACTGGAATTCTACTAAGTTAACTTATATAATTTAAGCCCGTGATTTTATAGTCAACATTACGAATTGGCATGAGAATAATTGTTCAATATTTATAAATCGATAATTTTAAACAATAACAAAACTTTCGTGTTAATGGAACATATCGTCATTTTTTGCATGATTATCCAAGCTTATTCCCCAAAATATTCAATATACATAAAAAAATAAAACAGCATCTTTTTATGGTCATTCTTCAATACCATTAATTGAAATATTGATGGTTTTAATTTGTTAATATTAACTCATTAAATATTGCCAGTAGGCAAAGCCTCTGTTTGATGTGCTTCTATCATCCAAGGAACCGAAGGAACGTCACTACCCCATTTATGCGTCACAAACGGAACTTCTTTAGTGGAACTGGCCCGATTTAAATGACAGCTGTCACTCGCACCAAGTTATAACGTTTAGGAATCAGGGACTTAAATTTTTCCAATGAACAATTGTTTGATATCTATTGGTTAATATATATAAATTACGTTTTACGTTGTTTGTCCGCGAAGGACTCCTAAACTACTTAACCGATTTTAATCAAATTTGCACACCGTGTGCAGTTTGATCCAACTTGACAGATAGGATAGCTTACATCTTAATCTATATTCACAATCTTATTTTATTGCAAATCATTTATTTATTAAGAGCCGAACATCATCCCAACCCTTTGGTGGTAAGCGCAGCAAATTACCAACCCGACACAAACGCGAACGTCAACAAGCGTCGCCCGCGAAACGTCCTAATCGACCCGGTATATGAAGGGGACTTAGATAAGCCGGACTCAACGCCGGAGGTCCCGCCGGATAACACTACACCCACAGTTAATGCA